GCTGCGGAGGTCAGAAAAGGGCTTCAGATTCCCCTGGAACTGGAGTTAAGGATGGTTCGTAGCTGCCATGTGGGTGCTGGGAATCGAACCCGGATCCTCTGCAAGAGCAGTCAGTGCTCTTAACCACTGAGCCATCTCTCCAGCCCCTAAAAATTTTTTCTATATGTAGCCATTCTTTTCAAGCTAAATGTAATTTAATTTTTAAAAAATTTCTTTAACTGCTCATTGAATATTTACAGTACTTTTGTTGTTTTTAAGCCAAAAAATGAAAAGTACCTTTTAAACAAATATTTTTGGTACTGTGGTTTTTTTTTTTTTTTGAGCTATATACTGACAAATAATGTGTACTATGACTTTTGATTCAAATTTGATTTTGACAAGCCATATTTTCTGGTTTTGTGGGTATTTTGTAACTTACTTCACAGTAAGCCTTTTGATGGCTCTTTTTCTGTACCAAAGCTAAAAGTTTAGATGATTTTTTTCTCTGTTGTATGAATTGGTTTTAGTTCGTGCAACACTATTGAGACAGCAGAAGTTTCTGTTCCTTGTTATGTGAATCTCCTGCAGTGTTTTCCAACCTTCCCCTCCTAACACCCTGAGGAAATGCCAGAATCCAGCTAATAGTACTGACTCCTTTTGAAGGGTTTGATTTTATTTTTATTTTATTTTTAAGACTGTTACCTGCATGTATGTAAGTGCACCACATGCAGTGTCCATGGAAGTCAGAAGAGGGCATCATAACCCTTGGAACTGGAGTTACAGATGGTTGTTAACAGCCATGTGGGTCCTGGGAACTGAACCTGGGTCCTTTGTAAGAGCAGCTAATGCTCTTAACTGCTGAGCCATCTCTCCAGTCCCACAGGTTTGGTTTTGTAGAAGCAGGATAGTGTGAACCCAGAGCATACCAGAATGGGATTTAGAACTTGTGCTTCTGTCCCTTGTTCAAGACAGACTCTCTACGGAGAGTAAGAGAGACAAAAGATGTTTCAAAAGTAAACCTACAGTTAATAAATAACAGAATTTGTGTATTGGATGGACACTGTGTCCATCACTCTCTAAGACTCTTGACAGTGGCCTTCCTTTCAGTTTGCTTAATTTTACTGGACAGAAAAGGTTTAAGAAAACATTAGGGAATGGTAAGATGTTATTACTCTAGTTTCAATCTTAAATTTTTTTTAGTTAAAAAAGTTAATTATGTATATGTGTCTATGCGTGGGTATACAAACCTGTGTTGGTACTGTAGAGGCCAGAAGCAGGTGCTCAATCCCCTGGAGCTGTGTTACAGGTAACTAAACTGTCTAACGTGGGTGCTCAGAACTGAACTTGGGTCCTTTGGAAGAGCAGTACAAACTCTAAACCACTGAGCTGTCTCTTCAGCCCTCAATCTTAAATATTTTCAACATAGAACATTTCAATAGTAAGCCATCCAATTTCTGTTAACTTAAACACAAAAGTATAGCTAATCATTGTTCTTTTTTAAAAAAAAAAAACTTTTAAAAAACTTTATTTTATGTGTATGTGTGTATTGCCTGCATGTGGGTAAGTGCTCCCATGTCGTGCAATGACTGCAGAGGTCAGAAGAGGCTGTCGGATCCTGAGACTGGAGTTACGGACAGTTGTTAACTGCCATGTGGGTGCTGGGATTCGAACCTGGGTCTTCTGCAAGAACAACCAGTATTCTTAACCACTGAGCCATCTCTCCAGCCCCGCTTTTTGTGTTTTCTTCAAAAAATACTTTAAAATAAAATAGGAAATGCCCTTATTTATAGTAAAGAAAGTTTTGGAGCTAGGCCTGGTGGCACAGGCCTGTAACACCAGCTGTTTGGGAAACTGAGGAAGAAAGATTGAAATTCAAGTTCTATCTGGGGTACAGAGCAAGTTCAAGGCCAACCTTGGCAACTTAGAGCCTATATCAAAATAAAAAATTCAAAAAAGAGTATTGGGGTTATAATTCAATGGTAGATTTTTTGCCTAGCAAGTGTGAGGCCCTAGGTTTATTTCCTAGGACTGTAAAAACAAAAACAACCGTACTGAAGAAAACTTTGTAGTATAACATTTGAGATCCTGGGTATCAAGCATTTGTTTAACACTGTAGCATTTGTTGGAAGGTTTTAGTTTAATAACTGTATGATAATGCTACAGCATCAGGAATTTGTCTTCTATTCTTTGGGGATAGGTATATATGTTTGTTTGGGGGGCCTGGAGACCAAACCTAGGGTCTTGCACATGGCAGGCAAATAAGTGCTCTACTGCTGAGCTGCAGCTCCAGCCCCAGTATAAATGATTTTGAAATCTTCCTAATTAATCTCTGAAAACTAAAAGTCAAATGAGATTAGAATGAGATATTTTTGTTTGCTTTTAGTTTAATTTTTTTTTTTTTTCCTTTTTGAGACATCTTCTCCTTATAAAGCCCAGGCTGGCCTTAAACTCTTGATCCTCCTGCTTCAGCTCCCATAGTGCTGAGACTACAGGCATGTGCCACTGTGCCCAGTTCTGAATTTGTTTTGATAGGAGATTATATAGATAATACTTGCTGGCTCATTGGACTTGGCTAGGCACACCTATTCTGACACTTGGGGGTTGGGGACATTCAAGGCCAGCCTGGGTTGCATAGCAGAGATATATCTCAGACAAACTTAATTCTTGTAAAAGTTTTAATTCATTCTTCTCTCATTGAACTAGAAGTCAGTTACTTGGATGGCTTAAATTTGAGAAGAGAGTGTCCTACCAAAAGAAGGTAGCTATGATGTAGTAGAGAATATGTGTGCATAGTCTCACCCACATTCTCCTGGTATTTAGAGCTTGTCTAGACACAAAGAATCTGTAGATTAGGAGATTTTGGTTATCTGCACAGGCATTGAGTGAAGCTGGAGGTTGGGGGTAGTAGTTTTGCCACAGTACACTTTCTTAATGACATCTTATGAGGAATGCCATGCATAAAACAGAGCAACTGGGAATCATATTAATTGATAGAATGTAGGGTACCTACAACCCTGGCTCCTGCCTTTCAATGGAAGCTCCTGAATCACTGTGTGAAGCCCTAAGGTTTGAAAAGCATCATTTTACAGCAGTGGTTCTCAAGCTTGTGCGTCTGTCAGAATCACCTGGAGGGCCTGTTAAAACAGAGAGCTGGATCTCTCCTTGGTAATCTGGGGCTGAGAGTTTGCGTTTCTAACATATTTCCAGGTGATTGCTGCTGCCGCTGCTGCTGCAAAGACCACTCTCTGAGAGCCACTGGTCTAGGTCCACGTAGATGGGCTTCTCAGGGGTCCTGCCTGTCTCAACATCCGGGGAGTTGGCACAGTGAAGTCACATCAGAGAGGTAGTGAGTTACAAGTGGGAAACTGAATTTCAGCATCCAAGGGTTTAGTTGGCGATAATGGAATTTAATCTTTTTTTCCTTTTCTTTTTATGTAGATTTTTGGCACACTACAGCTGAATGTGGCTGAACAAAGGTGCTTCCTAGCTATTACTTTTAGAGTAGGGCTCTAGAGCCTCCTGATTGTAATATAGGCTGTTTACGGAAACTTCCGAAAATAACAACATAACAGCTTTGAACAATAGTTTTTCGTTTTCAAATTCCATTTTTTCAGATTTTTACAAAAATCCAGTTCAAATTTAAAAGCTGAACATGGGATTTCTTTTTACTTCTACATCTGTTCTGCATTAATTGGGTACATTTCTGGGTGAGTTTCATTATCTGAAGTATGGCCGACTTTGCCCTACGCCTGCTTAAGTAATCTGTTCTGTGGGACTGGCTATCTCTCTGATCATCAGACAGTGTCTTTTTGTCGTTGCAGGTTTGCAGTGCAAATGGAGTCTGGAGTGTCGCAGCAGGCCAAGATTATTCCCTGTTTTTAGTGGACACCAAAGACTTCCAGCCTGGGTTGTATTACAGTGGCCGACAGGATCCTGCTGAAGGTGGCACCCTTCCAGAGAATTCCAGTGGCACTAAGACGCCAGTACTTCTCTCCTGTAATAAGGTAAACAGGATTGGATCCTAAGGTCCACATTTGTACAACACACGAGAAGTCTTTCAGGGTTATCTTCTGTGTGCCTGACTTTTACTAAATACTGTGACTACTTTAAAATTGTAAACCCTATCCATCCTTCACTTCTTATCTCCTTTCCTGCTTTTTGCTCTCCATAGTGCTCATCACCATGTAAGATGCTGTATAATTTACTTGTCTGTTGTCTGTCTTCCTTACTCTAGTGTGAAGGTCACAAGTGTAGGATTTTAGGCTCTCGTTCATTTCTATATCTTCATAGTACATACTCTTTTCATTATCATTGTTTTTGTCTTTTTGAGACAAGGTCTTTATAAGCTTGCAGTCAGGCTGGCCTGGAACATGCTGGGTAGACCTCCTGCTTCATCCTCCTAAGTAACTTGGATTCCTGGTGTATGCTGTACACACCAGCATAGCACATACTTTGTAAGCAGTTGTTGAAGAAACACTTTCATGTTGGAATGCTATGCCAGTGCTTTTTATTTATTTTTGCTTTGTGATGCTGGGGATGAAATTCAGGGCCTTGTGTACATATACTAGACAAGAGCTTTGCCATTGCACTAAGCCCCCAAGCTGTCTTTTGTTTTTGTTTTGTAATGCTGGGGCTTGAGCCTGGTCTTGCAGGAATATTGAAAAGTACCTTTCATGGTGAAGTTTCCTGGAACCCTCGGGTGAATTAGAATAGAAGAATTTCTAACTGCAAGTGGCGAGTGCTACCTGCAGAGTCCTGCCATGGGCTCAGAACGACATCCTGATAAGTCACCAGGAAGATTTACTGCGGCCTTCCCTGCTTCACGGCTTTTCTTTTCCTATTCTTTATCCCATTTTTTCTCTTTTGAAGATCTACATTTTTGTCTGATTTTCTAATTCTTGCCTTTTTGCAAAAAAAATAAACCACCGGGTGTGGTGGCGCACGCCTTTAATCCCAGCACTCAGGAGGCAGAGGCAGGCAGATCTCTGAGTTCAAGACCAGTTTGGTCTACATAGTGAGTTCCAGGACAGGTGGGGCTACAGGGAAACCCTGTCTCAAAAAGACCGAAAAAACAAAAAAAAAACCCCAGTTTTTCCCCCTATTAAAACAACATACCCTTGAGAGGCATGCCAGCAGGGACTATCACTCTCAGGGCCAGTGCATCTGAATTTCCTATTCTCATTGAAAAATGTATTTTATGGGCTGGTTTTAACCTTTAGTTTTCTTGGTTTAGATGCTATGAATGTATTGGGATAAGATCTTAATTGCTAAAGGCAACATTGGCCAAAACTTGGCTCTTAACCTATATGCTACTTATTTGGGATGTATTGATTGGCTCTTTGCAGTAGCTGGCCTGGCTCCACAGGCCCTGTGAAAGACTTCAGTTTAGATAAAGGATGGAATAGACTGATGAAAGGAATGAGGCTCTAGTGTCTGTTCTTGTTTTCCTTGGAAGGTTAATTCCCCTTGCGTGCCTAACTGCCAGCCAGGTTTAATAAGGATATACAAATAAAGACATTGAATGCTTTTGTTCATAATAGCATAGGCAAATGGTTAAAAAAAAAACTGTCCTTTTAGAGAAAAATCTTAACACATTCTAATAATAGACATTTGTGGGACAGAATGTGACATTTCAGTACATGTGCACAATGTGAAGTGACCAGATAAGGGTAAATGGCATGTCCATCATTGCAGACATTTTTCGTTGTGTTGAGAACATTTAAGAACGTCCAGAATCCTTTTCTACAAGCTATTTTGAGATACTCAACTGATGTTTGTTACATATTGTTGTTAACTGTAGTTATCCTGCCATATAGTACAGTAGACATCTTTCTTCTCACTTGTATCTCATCCCCTTAACCATTCTGTTTTTCCCTTCCCTACACCTTTTGGTAACCACCGTTCCGTTTTCTAATTATTTTCTTTTTCCAATTCTGAAGGATCAGCTTTTTAGCTTTCACTTGTGAGGTTGTTTTATTTTCTTTCCATGTCTGACTTATTTCCCTTAATATAATATCCTCCAGTTCTACCCATATTGCTGCAAATACAGAATTTCCTTCTTTTTATGGCTGAATGGTGTTCCATTATGTATATGTACCATATTTTCTTTATCTGTTCATCTGTCAGTGGACATGTAGGTTGATTCTGTATCTTGGCTATTGTGAATAGCATGTGAGTGCAGATGTCTCGTTGACACACTGATTTCAGTTCCTCGGGAGTGGTGGGATTGCTGGATCATGTAGTAGTAGTTCTTTTTCTAGTTTTTCTGAAGAACTTCAAACTGTTTTCTTTAGTGGCCATACTAATTTACATTCCCACCAACACGGTATGAGGGCTTCTCTTTCTTCAAATCCTTGCCAGCGTCTATTTTTTGTCTCTTTGGGAATAGCCATAATTTCTTGGGCATTTGAGTGTCTTCTGAGAAATGTCTATTTAGGTCAGCTTCTCATTTAAAATTGGATTATTTGGGACATTACTCCCTTGCAGGATGAGTAGTTCACAGGCATTTCTCCCATTCTATAGGTTGTTTCTTCACTTTCCTGTACAGAAACTCCTAGTTTGGTATAGTCTCATTTCTCAGTTTTTTCATTTGTTGCTTTTATTTTGGGATCATATCCAATATCTTGAACCATTTTCCCTACACTTTTTTCTTTTGTTTTGCTTTGTTTTTGATTTTTTGAAACAGGGTGTTATGTAGCCAAGGCTGACCTCAAACTGATCCTCTCACCTCTACCTGGGATTGTAGCATGTGCTGCCACACCAACTTTTTGTTTTCTTTCTTTTTTAAAAAATTTATTTTATTTTTATTTATTTTACAACATAGGGTGAGATACAATCTCACATTCACTTGTTCCATATGGTCCAGAAACCTTTTGGTTTCTAGTAAGTGAGTTTATTAAGTTAAGTGTGCATGTCTTAGTTTGGTTTCTGTTGCTGTGATAAAACACTGACCAAAAAGCAGTTTGGGGAGGAAAGGGTTTATTTTGTCTCTTATCTCCCAGGTCACAGTTCATCACTGAGGGAAGTCAGGGCAGTAACTCAGGGAAGGAACCTGGTAGCAGGAGCTGAAGCACAGACCACAGAGGCATGCTGCTTACTGGCTTGCTCCCTGGTCTATGTGTAGCGTTCTTTCTTATACAGTGCAGGACCTACTGCCCAGGGGTGGCACCACCCACAGTGGGCTGGGCCTTCCAGATCACTCAGTAATCAAGAGGATGCCCCACAGAGATGGCTATAGGCCAGTCCAGTGGAGGCAGTTCACCAATTGAGGCTCCCTCTACCCAGGTGTGTCAGGTTGACAACTAAGCTATTGAGCACAAGCAACCAGCACTCATAACTGCCGAGCCATTTCTCTGGCCCCTCTTTTTATTTTCTTAGGTAGAGTTTCACACCGTAGTCCAGACTAGCCTGGGACTCACATATGACCAGGGTGACCTTGAACTTTCAGCCGTCCCCTTTTTCTCAGCCCCTGAATGCTGAAATTACAGGCATGAGCTCTTGTATCTAGTCTCTATGTGTTCTTAAAGAAAATGTCTTTATGTTGCACTTTGAAGAAGCAAGGTAGCTCATAGGACATTGGTACTTTATATATAGCACAGAGCTCCTCTCTGTTCTCATTCATCTGATTCCATGCAAAGTGAGTCTTGAGACATGTAACCTTGCCATTTCGATCTTTGTCTAATGTCTGTGGTTCCAAGAACTTGTGAAATGAAATAAAAGGTATCTTGGAGATAAATAAAAGTAGTTCAATGTAGTTTTTCACATGTAACAGTGGTATACAGATATGCCAGCTCTAAAACAAATAAAAGGCTCTGATTGGCAGTGTTTGTAAATTTCCATTTTCAAGCTGTTCGTAATTTATAACTTGCCTGCAAATTACAGAATATTTCAGCCTTTGGCTCTTGTGGGCTGATATGAGCCATTGTAGTACATCAAATTGCTGCTCGTAAGTTATATTTTATCTTTAATCTTTTTCTTTCCCCCTTTTCCAGCTTGGATATATAAGCAGAGTAACAGCAGGAAAAGATAGCTATCTAGCCTTGGTGGACAAAAACATTATGGGATATATTGCCAGTCTTCACGAGTTGGCTACTACAGAAAGACGGTTTTATTCAAAACTAAGTGAAATCAAGTCTCAGATACTTAGGCCTCTTCTCAGTTTAGGTAAGTTGAAATCCACCCTTCTATCCCCATAACACCAGGGCTCTTGTTTTAAGTTTTTTTTTTTTTTTTTTTCTGTATTGTATAAGGCTGTTTGTTAGACAGTGTGCCCTGTAGCCTAGCCTGACCTCAGTTCACTTTGTAGCTGCGGATGACCTTGAACTCTGGTTCCTTCTGCCTATACCTCCCAAGTGCTGAGATTACAGGTGTTAGTGACCATGCCTAGCTTTTTTTTACTTTAAGGCCCAGATTGGCCTCATGATCCTTTTGCCTCAGCCTCACCAGTACCTGGGACTATTAAGTATGAGTCATGATACTTTGCAAGAAAACTTTTTGAGTTAATGGTTTACTCCTGCAGTCACTTCACAAACTATCTGGTTCATCGCTAACGCAGCTGTCTCTGCCTAGTCTCACTATTCCCAGAACTCCCTCTTCTTGCACAAGTAGAAATCGGAGCTTTAGGAAAATGTGGCAGAAAGGTAAATTCTTTGGGAAAGTTGGCCATAGAGACTGGACTTCCATCAGTACTTCTGGCTCCTGGTCATTAGGAAGTATCTTCCGTTATATAATCTCTGGCTTATTTTTGTTGTTGTTGTTTGTCCTTTCTTATAATAGCTCTTAGAATTATAGTAGAGATTCATTTAGAGTTTTCTTTCAGAATTATCACTGAGAGTTTGAAGGGTCTCATCCCACATTAGTATGAGTTTATAAGATCTTTATAAGCCACAGAGAGGGGTTTGAAGTAGGGCAGTAATGCAGAGGATGATTGCTAAAGTACCTCATGGGATGCCACTGTCCACACATACCTGGTACCTGGGTTAGGACATTAGTAAGGAATGCAAAAGTTTGTGGCTGATAAAAATAACCTTCCCTGGCTGTCTTAGTCTGTTTCTTCATTGCTGTGACAAAACACTCTGGCCACTACCAACTTGGGGAGGAAAGGGTTTATTTATCTTACATCTCCCAGGTCACAGTTCATCTGGGAGCCCAAGGTAGGAACTCAGGGCAGGAACCTGGAGGCAGGAGCTGGAGCACAGGCCATGGAGGAACACTGCTCACTGACTTGCTCCCCTAGCCCCTGGTCAGCCTGCTTTCTTATGCAACACAGGCCCACCTGCCCAGGGGAGGCACCACCCACAGTGGGCTGGGCCCTCCCACATCACTCATCAAGAAGATACCCCTGAGTCATGGCCATAGGCCAGTCCAATAGAGGCAATTCCCCAATTGAGGCACCCTCAACCCAGGTGTGTTAAATTGACACTAAAGCTATCCAGCACACTGGCCTTCCAATTTTTCTAAGTTTGGCTCTCTACTTAGAAAATAGAGGTTCTTTTTTTCCCTCTCCCTTTAACTCCCTGAACCCTTTTAAGGCCCAGAATTTAGACTAATACTCTAGAATATCAGCTTTACCCTGTGTTATATTGACACTGGCTTATGTGAGTTGAGCCTATTGTTTCTACTGGAAACATCTGTTCAAACAAGTTTCTTAACAGCCTTGTTTTTATTTATATTCTATTTGCATTTCTATTGCTGTGTTAAAACACCCTAACAAAAAGAAATTATGGGAGAAAGGGTTTATTTTAGTTTACAGTTCCAAGTTGCAGTCCATCAGTGGGGAAGGCAAAGAGCAGGAACTGAGGGAGCTAGACACATCAGCACTTGAGAGCAGAGAGAATGGATTACTGTGTGCTGAGTATTAAGCTTGGTCTGTCCACTCTTCTTCAGTTCAAGACCCCCTGTCCAGGGAATGATATGACCTAGTTGGGCTGGGTTTCCTATACCAATCAAGAAAATCAAGATAGTCCCCCTACACATTCCCACAGACCAACCTAGTAGAGATACTCCCTTATTGAGACTGTCTTTACAGGTGATAACAAAAGTAACCATCACAGTTTGTTTGGGCATTTGTTGATTTTTTTGTTGTTGTTGTTTTTGTTTTTGTTTTTGAGGTAAAGATTCCTATAACCCTGGCTGGCCTCCAAATTTCTATATAGCCAAGGATGACCTTGAATTTCTGAGCCTCCTGCCTCCCTGTCAAGTGCTGGAATTATAGGCATGTGCCACAGCGCTTGGCTAATTTAACCTTATTTTTAAGTTGGGGACTGTCTGCATTTTTTTTGTTATTGTTTTTAAGTGTCTGTCTGTAAAGCCCCTGTCTGTAAATACTCCTCAGGATAGGCCCAACACTATGGCATGTAGGTCAGTGAAAGGAGGCAACCTAAACTGGAATCTTCCTGGGTTGCTCTGGAAGGAAACCAGAGCTGCCTTTTCTCTGACCCTAGTCCAGATTTCTGTGTTAGTCTTCCCTGGTCTACTCATTGGCCTCATTATTTACAAAGAAGCCCTAGACATGAGGAATTTTAGACTGGGGAAGGCAAATAATCTGCTGTTGGCTTCTACAATTCAGAGTGACCTAGGCGTCTGATGTTTAGATTGCCCTCTGTGCTGAAGATTGGGGCTTGTCCAAGGGGCAAGTGGAGCAGCTCTCAGTATAAAAACTTGAAAATGCTAAATAAGCTCTATCAGCTGGTGGTGTAGCTGAGTTGGTAGAATGCTCTTCTAGCATGTACCAGGCCCTGGGTCAATCTCCAGCACTCCATAAAACCAGATGTGGTAGCATAGACATCTAATCCTAGCGCTTGGAGGTGGTAGTGGCAGGATTACCAGAAGTTCAAGGTCATCCTTGGCTATAAGAAGACAGACTCTTTCAAAAATCTAACCACAGAAGTAAATTTCATTCCTGGCTGTTAACCTGTTATCAGTTGTGTGAAATTTTTTAAAAAATTTATTTCACCAGGCATAGTGGCATATGTAAATAAATAAATAAATAAATAAATAAATAAATAAAATCATTTCCCTTTGCTTTAGATTACTTATTTTCAAACTTTAAATAGTATGATCTTAGTGGGTCTCAAATTTAGCTAATATTAAAAAGTCACCTATTTGGGCATAGTGGCATACACCTTTAATCCCAGCACTTGGGAGACAGAGGCTGGTGGATCTTTGTGAGTTCCCAGGCCAGCTGGGGTTACAGGGAGACCCTATCTCAAAAAATCACCTGGGACACTTAAACCTTCATTCAAAGATCTAAATACTAGATCTAGTAGACCAGAACCAGACAGTTTCTGTGACTATGGTAAGTGTGCATGCGTGCATGTGTGTGTGTGTGTGTGTGTGTGTGTGTGTGTGCACGTCGTGCCTGTGTCTGTTGGCTAGAGGTGAGGTGAACACTGGGCATCCTCCTCTGTCACTCTCTACCTTATTTCCTTGAGACAGGGTTTCTCACTGAACCTGGAGCTCCCATGTTTTGGCTAGGCTGCTGACCTACACTCCATAGAAGAGGTGATCCTCTTCTACCTTAATCCCCATCCCCTGCACTGGGGTCATAGGCCAGGTCCTCATACATGCACATCAAGCAATCTTACCCACTGAGCCATCTCAGGGATTTCTGAAGTTGTTTTTTTACAGTGTTTTCAGTAGTAATTTGGGTCCATAGATTGGAGTACATCTCAGCAGGATAAGTATCCTCAGAGGGGCATCATAAGAAGTATGGGCTCTTCATGTTGTCGTCCTCATTCTGTTGCAGAAAGTTTGGGCACTGTGACTACTGTCCAGCTGTTGCAGGAGGTAGCGAGTCGGTTCAGCAAGCTGTGTTACCTCATTGGACAACATGGAGCCTCTCTGAGCAACTTCCTGCAAGGGGTCAAGGAAGCCAGGAGCCTGGTCATTCTGAAGCACGCGAGTCTCTTCTTGGATAGTTATACAGAGCAAGTATCCAGTCCCGTGTCATGTTCAGTCTCAGCAGGGTTTTTCTGAAAGGTGAAGCGCTCCTTAATCAGAAGAGGCTAGATTAGGAAGAGTGTATAAGGTAATAGAGTTGAAAAGCTGAATTTTATAGTTCTGCATCGCCTGCTCAGTTTTCTTTAAGGGGCAAAAGTTTAAAAAAATAATGAATTCTCATGTTTCCTTCTATATTCTAGCAGTGATTGTAGTATACTTTATTTTCATGATGTGTACTATAATAAATCTGATAATTTTGTTAAGTAAATTATGCAAAAATTTGAGAGAATAAAGAGTTAGGTCATTTTAAAACGAACTGTAAATGTGGAGCTGTTCAGATGTCTGTTTATTATTGCCATGTAGAAGTGTAAATGGAGGCTTTAACTACATTTACATAACTGCATTTAACATAAACCTTGGATGGCCACTTAAGGCATTAAGTGTTATTTAATTGTTTAAGTTATTTTAGTGTATGCCAGGTGATGCCGTTTATCTGAAGTATGTGTTATTTTTATGCATAATTTATTTATTACCTCATCCATCTGACAGAAATTGACTCAGTGCCATGAAGTACCAGGCACTGCATACAGCCAGTGAGAAACACCTGTTGTCAGGGGGTTTGTGTTCTCTGTTTTCCTTAGGTTATTTATAGCGTAAGTAACGTGTGTTTATCATCATAAACTGCAGATAGCAAAAAATCAAAGGATATTTAAAGTTGCCCTTTTCCCACCAATAGAAATAACTTATAGTAATCATCCTAATATTTTTCTTTTCAGACTTAGGCATGTAAGTGACTTCAGTTTTAAGCAAATAGAACATATTGGAAGAAATATCTTGGTTTGAGTCTTTTTTAAAAAAAAAAAAGGTTTATTTTTAATTACGTGTGTGTGTGTGCGTATGAATGCAGGTGCCTACTTGATTTGCAGGCATTCAGATAGAAAAAAATAATGATTTGAAGGCATTCAGATAGAAAAAATAATGGTATAGCTTGATCTTAATTTATTTTTAAAATTAGACTTTTCTATGAAGGTTTCAGCTTTTATTAGTGCAATTTTCCCTTTTTGGTCTTGTTTTTACCTCATCATACCCCCATTTCTTTTTTCTTCTCTGATACTTTATGCTTAAAATGTAGTAGTTTGCTACTCTCTGAAATGTAATACTTATTCCTATAGATGAGGCAAGTAAAATTAAATAAATATATATGATTTTTTAAAGGATTTTAATTGTAGTTAAAATATATATCTATATTTGCCATTATAAACACTGTCTTGTTTTGTTTTTTGAAGCCTGTAGCACCTTGGTTACTTTTAGTAAGAATTTCCCTTCTTGCTCAAAATTGCCTGGTCACTAGCTCTAGAGTCTGAAATAGCTCCTGCTCAGAGCGTTTGTCTACATTTGCTCCTGAACACTGTCAATATTTAATCAACAGTTTCTAATACTTTTTCACTCAGCTCTCTTAATGTGTTTTCTTAACCTTCATGATTGTTCATTTTCTGAAGACGTAATTGGAAAACCTGGAATGAAGATTAAATTTTCATTAAAAATTCCAGAGTTTTAATCATGTTTTCTCTAGCTTGCTAAGTTACCAGGTACTATCTGCTGAGTAGATCCTAGTGGCTCTACACAGCTTGAGGTGCTTTTAAAATTTCCTTTTATATTAACATTTCTCTCAACTTGCACTTACCTTCCCTCTCCCCACTGTTACTGAACTACCTTTGCTTTTCTTCAGTTACGAGTGTTAATGTTGACATCACAAAAGTTCTGAAACTCAAGGGTGAGATTTCAAGAAGTATCTGTCTAGATGTTTGTTTGAAACTCTGAAGAACTAATGTACACTTTACGACTAATGTCCATGTGTTTTCTTTTCCACTCAAGGTACTGTACATCAGTTACAAATTTCCTGGTTATGGGAGGATTCCAGCTTCTTGCTAAGCCTGCCATGTAAGCAAACCCATACCGTCTGTACCTTCTAAAAGCCAAAGATCATGTTTTATAGTGTTGTGTGTTTGGGGTATCATGGGAATGTGTTGGCTTGGTGATTTACCCATTCAGTCAAAATGCAGACTTTCATTAGCTCTTAGATGAGGCAGGTGCTGTTAGCCCCTGACTGTCTTTAGAAGTAGTAGGGTTCTGAAAGAGCACTGAGGTCCAAATACAAGATCTGGGTCTTCTTCAGTTCTACCACTTTCTAGCCCCTAAACTTTAACTTTCTTCAGAGGAGGAAGCCTAATCATTTTTATCTAAAAAATTGAGAGTGCTTTCTCCCCTGTTGGTAAAGAGCAGATAGTTTCTGTGATGGTTCCAGAAAAGTATGTGCTACACAAATATAAAGTATTTGCATTTAGCAAATTGGGTTGAGTATAAAAGCCCCTGATCTGATATATTGGTCTAGTAAGAAAGGCAAATTTTGAAAAATTCTGTATTTTAGTCGAAAATATTTATTCACCATCCAGACTTAACAGGTTTGGCTAGGTTTGTTTTTATTCTTCTGTGCTAATACAAGGAGTACTAATATGTTGGCTCTCACTTCTGACTTTTGTTAATCTGTTTTCCTTTTTTTCTGTATTTGGACAGTTTTTGTCAAAGGACTGCACTAAGATGAGTGTACTTTCTCTCTTTTTTTTGTTTTCTGGAATAGTGTGCACGAGATAGGAGTTACCTGTAGTCTAAAGAGTTGGTGGAATGTATCCATTAAAAAAAAAAAAGAACTTTGGGGCTGGAAAGATGACTGGTTAAGAGCACTAGCTGTTCTTGCAGCAGAAGACCCAGGTTCAAGTCCCAGCACCCACATAGTGGCTAACAACTGCCCGTAACTCCAGTTCCAGGGGATCTGACGCCCTCTTCTGACCTCCGAGGGCATTGCACAGCATGGGTTTACTTATACACATGCAGGCAATGCACTCATACACATAAAGTTAAAATAGTATATTTTTTTAAATGAATGACCTTTAATGGTATTATTTTCTATAGGTAGTTTTTAAACTTCTGACTTGGTTTCTATAATGAATAGGTCTGATTAGGTCTTAAAAATTTTTTTTTGAAATTATTTTTATTTTATATATGAGTGTTTTGCCTGCATGTATGTAGATGCATCACATGCATGCAGTATCCACAGAAGCCAGAAGAGGAGGCAATAGATCTCCTGGAACTGCAGTTATAGATGGTTGTTAGTTGCTAGGTAGGTGCTGAGAACTGAACCCAGGTACTTTACAAGAGTAGCCAGTACGCATAACCACTGAGCCACCTCTCCAGCTGCTGGGCCTTTATTTCTTATGGCTTAGTCATTATTTCTTTATTTGGAAGCTAGCCTTTTCATCTTTGTTTTCAAATTTATTGACATTTGTAGCATTATCTTAAGCTGTTTTCATCTTTATACTGAGGTTGCTCCCTCTACTTTGTATTGCTGTTATTTATTTGGACCTTTCTTTTATTTTTTAAATATTGATCATTCTTGTCAGTAGTTTGCCCTTTTTTAACGTTTTCAAATATTGGTGGCTCTTTCCTTTTTTTGTTTTTTTTACCCCTTTTTAATGTTTTTAGATATTGGTGGCTCTTTTCTAATTTTTTTTTTTTTGGTCCTGGAACTCACTATGTAGACCAGGCTGGCCTTGGACTCACAGAGATCTGCCTGCCTCTGCCTCCCAAGTGCTGGGATTAAAAGCGTGAGCCACCACGCCCAGCTTCTTTTCTGTTTTTTTAGAATGTTTTTAAGAGCGTATATACTGAGTTTCATTATAACATTTATATACCTATATAGAATGTATTTTAATCATATTTACTCCATTAACTTTCTCTTATCCCCCTCCCATGCATGCTGATTCCTTTCCTCTTCCCAGCCAGCACCCCTTCCTGTTTCATGCCTTCTTTTTTTAATGTCCCAAAGAGTGTTGTTGGATTGCTTACAGTAGCATGGGTAAGGGCTTATTTACAGGAGCAGGGGGATCTTACCACTAGGACATCACTGAAAAAAATGCCTTCCCCACCCCATCACCCATTAACTTCGTATAACTCCTCCAGGGATGTGGAGTGTCTTGGTCTTTTTGTTTTGTTTGCATTTAGTTGTATTTGATAATACCCTGGTTTATTTTGCAATCTTTTCTGATATATCCATATGGATTTGAGGTCAGCTCTCTGAGAGTGCACTAAAATTACTGAAACTTGCCTACAGTTTTTTAAAATGCTGATGAAAGAGCACTTACGAACATACCACTATTTAAGCACAACAACATAAAGGACTTTTCCCAACTTTTTGAAAGCAAAATGGCTCAAATAGGAACAAAAAAGCTCAGAAAACTAGACAAAAACCAAATAAGAGTGGAGAATATCAGATCTCCCAAACTGTTGCTTCTATCTTTTATTATTACTTTTGTTTGATTTTGAGCCAGGTCTCACAATATAGCTGAGGTTGGCCTGGAACGCATGATATTCCCCCCCACCCCACCCCCGCTGGGCTTACAGGCATGCACTTTCATATCAAGCTTCTCCCCTTTGAAGTGTGCACCCTGAGTGTGTCTGAAGTAAAACTAACCAGTACTAAATGGAGGGCTGCTATGGATGGGGCTACTGTCACTATAAAAGCCTAGAACAGAAAGGTGTAATGCACCTACTCTAGGTAGACCAGAATATTCAGGTCTTGCTGGCATCAGAGGCTGACCTGACCTGCTGGTCACTCTTACTTTGTTATTGTGTTCTGTTTTGTTTCTTATCTTCTTGTTCCACTATTTTGTAATTAGGGCAAGGTGAGAGGTTCAGCTAGTCTTAAGAATGCTTAACTGTACCTCAAATTGACTTACTCAAACATCCTTATTCTTTTGAAACTATAACTAATTTCCACCTATAATGATTTTTAAGATAAACAGTAAGTCAGCTGAAAAAACAGGTGGGGCATGGAGCTAAGGATCACTACCACCCTTGGGCCACAGCACTGTGGATGATTTGCAGGATAGTGGTGGAAAGACCAGCTAGTGAGTCTTCTCCAGGAAGGCCTTGCAGCACCTGAGGCATTGTTGATATGATACTCAATGTCCAGTACCCTGTTCAGGACAGCTCCAAGTCAGAGTCTTTGCCATAATAGGAATCTTCAATAATGAGCTGATTCTGTGGTTCATAGCTCCCAAGTCGCTCAAGTTTAGCTTTGCAGTTTTTAATTTGATTACTTTTTCTATTCAGATCTCTCAGATTGCTTTCATCCACACACAGTATATAATCAAGTGTGGCAAAGTCTCTTTGGTAATCTGAGCAATGTGATTCATGAGATGCCGTGCTTTCTCATGCAGCTCTGCCCTCGATAGTCAGGGGGGCTCCCCACTTCATAGCTAGATGTAGCTACATTGTCTATCCTCCAGTTCTCTGAAACATTTCCATCAGTTACCAGTTTTCTAAAAACTGCTTCTGCAGTGGGTGGCCAGCAAATGTTACCCAGACACACAAACAGTCCCATCTTGGACCCATGCTCAGCCATCTTCCCTGCTCTTGGTTTTTGTTTTGTTTTGTTTTGTTTTTTCATTAATTTCTGTTATTTCATTTGTGTTTATCTGTTAATCTCTTTCAGCTTCATAAATTTAGGTACTTTGTTAGTTTTTTCAGTTTTTTAATTATTTATTATTATAATTTTTGAGACAGGGTGGCTGGCCATGGCTGGCCTCCAACTTGCTATGTAGGTAAGGCTCTTCTTTAGCTCCTGATCCTGATCCTCCTGTCTCCACCTCCTAAGTCCTGGGATTACAGATGTGTGTCACCATGCCTGGCTGGGCTTATTTCTGAAATACAGTGTTTGAAAGGTCAACTCTTACTGTAGCCTATATCAACTTTATTCTATTTTATGAGCTCAATAATATTCTATTAGATTTATTTGCCATACCCCATTTTGTTTATTAATCCAGCTGTTGAATATGGCTATATCAACCCTTAGTATATTTATTTTTATTTTAAAAATCTGAGTGTGAGTACAAACCCAACCATCTAAGGAAACAATATTATCATTAGATTGAAATTCCCAAGAGAAGCTGTGCTGAGCAGAATCCATGGGTCATTCCTGAGTGTATTCCAGAACTCCTGTTGGGGAAGTCTGTAGGTGAGGCTTGACTCAAAGTCCTGGGAAGTAGCGGGACTTACAGAGTTGGTACATTTTTATTCTAGTATGAACAGGGTACTGGACATATGGGAGAAACCTGGTACAAGGGAGCCTGTGGTCACCACTTCTACCTGCTTCCCTCAGGAGCACATCAAAACCTCCTTCTCCTTCATTCCCTCCCTCATCCTCCCCCTTCCTCTCCCTCTTCTTCCTGTTCCTCTTCCCCTTAATTCCCTGCCACTGAGCTATATCCCCAGCCTTATAAAAAAAATTAAGGCAAGTTGTCATTGAGTTGCCTAGGCTGGCATCAGACTTTCTTCCCTCCTGCCTCAGCCAAGGCCTCATAATTATACTGTCAAATAATCAGATCTGTTCCACCTAACTTCCAAGTCCCTGGAACTCATCATATGTTTTTATCCATCTTCCAAGATTGTAGTTGACAATTTCTGAGATAAACATTTCTTTGTACCACATTTCTCTAAGGAACCATGCGATAACTCATTCTCATCTGAGTCTAATGTTGTACTGTATCGTATTTGAGGCCTTGCAGCCCAGAAGTGTAGTGTGGTGTTTGTAAAGCACTCAAGGTAGTGCCTGGAACGTAACTGTTGCTCATTAGGAGTAACATGATTATTCTGTCCCTGGCATTCCTTCTTTATAAACTTTTAAGTCATTTGGCATGGTGAGCACAGTCTCAGGGGTTGCTGATCAGCATTAAAATTTTCAGTATAATTTTAATAATTTACAAAATAACTTACTTTATAAAAAGTAAAGTTTGACTTCAGTTTGAAATATTTTTGAAGATCCTGCCATTGAAATCTGCATACACAGTTTGCTTTATTGTTTCCTGTTCATTTAGTACTGGTTCCTGCTGTTTTAAAAATTACTATTCTTATGATAAACTCAAATTGGGTCATGAACAATTAAAGGAAAAGGAAGAATTTAGAAGTATTTATCTGTGTGCTGATGCTTGTAACAAGGAGCTTTGCTTTTCCACCCGTGTTTCTTCTCTTCAACATAGCTGGTTAGAGCAGCCAGGCCTGCCTGCCATGGATTCCCATGACTTTGGGCTTTGAAAATAACATTTGAGCGGGGGTGGGGGTGACATTGGGATTGTCTCTGAAACTGTGGGATTCATTTCCTAGATATAAGGAAAGGTCTGATACTAACCATTTCTGTTAAGTTTGCTACCATTGCTGCATTTGACACTTTCAGAATCCTATGTTATAGGAAGAAAGATAGGATTCTGTTAATTATTCCTGGCTCATTTTATTTTATTTATATTGTTTCTTAACACCTATGCTGTACATTCTGAGCAAAGGTACTGTAGTAGAACTTTGTGTGTAATACCATTCATGTATATTAGACAAAATCATGAACTGAATCTTTTATTTCTCTTTTTCTCTAGTGATTTCCTCAATAAACACCAAGAGCTGTTGCAAGATTTATCAGAAGTGAATGATGAAAACACTCAGTTAATGGAAATACTGAATACCCTGTTTTTCCTGCCAATCAGACGACTTCATAATTATGCAAAAGTCTTGCTAAAGCTCGCTACTTGCTTTGAAGTGGTAGGTTTCTTCTGCCCCATTAATACTTAGAAAGCCGAGAATCAAAGTAGGTTGTTTGGATTAAGTTACCCTAAATTATAGAGCCCTGTTAAGTTAATATTTATATGTATCTAATTAAAATTTCTTTCTACACTGGGTGTGGTAGCACACACCTTTAATCTCAGTGTTCTTGAGAGAGGCAGAGGGAGGCAGATCTCTGTGAGATCAAAGTCACCCTGGTCCACATTGTGACTTCCAGGTGGGCTGTGACTAGGGAGACCCTGTCAAAATTTTTTTCCTTCTCTTTGGGCATGTGAAAGAAGAAAGGATAAATAGGACTATCTCATCTTCTTTTCTCTGGTTCAGTTTCTATTCAGGACCTTATTCAGATTGTATTCAATTTGTGAAGCCATCTAGAGGAGAGAGCCCACTGTGAATGCTGCATCTTCAGTATTGCCAGAGTCTGTGGAATGCATGCTGAGTCTGAGTTCCATGAGGCCTGGTGTCTAGATAGTGTGCACACCTGTGAAGTAGTGGAGTTATCAGCTGGCCTGGATTCTTGGTACAGGAAGACTCATGCCAAGAATTTGATTCACCATCATAAAGGCTATGAGAAACGAGAATTTTCTTCCATGTTAATTAGTTTACTTTCTGTATAAAATTAATCAGGTAGAGTTCTGGAGAATCAGCACTGTTCTAGGGTGTGTGTGTGTGTGTGTGTGTGTGTGTGTGTTAAAGCTGTATAAAATTAATCAGGTGGAATTCTGGAGAATCAGCACTGTTCTAGGGTGTGTGTGTGGGTGTGTGGGTGTGTGTATGTGTGTGTATGTTAAAGCTGATCCTGAGACATTTACCTGTGAAACTACTGAATTTTGTGATTTCATTTTGTTTCCAGGAAATTATAGTGAGCACAAGGTTCCTTAAAACATTTAGGCCCTGACTTCTGTTTCCTGATTTGGACAGATTTCAGTCCATAGGGTGACAGCAACTGATAAGGATTTTCTCCCTCAGGTCCTCCTATAGGTCTTTTTAGCCTGGTTTCATTTTTAACTCAAACTGATCTTAGCTATGCAGGTTTGAGCTACCAAATTAGCCAGTGAGATGCAGATTTTGCCTCAATAAATTAAAAATCTTTATTAGATCAGCCTAGAATTGTTTGGGGTGTGGTGGTACATGTCTAATCACAGCACATTGAAAGCTGAAGCAGGAGGATCAAGAGTTTGAGACCAGGGCTTATATAGTAACATCCTGTCTGAAGAAAAATATTCAGGTTGTCTGATATTGTACTGCGTCCATTCTGAAGGGCTAATTCTGAGGAATGATCAGGTCTGTTAGATTTCTGTTCAAGGCCCTGTGTAATTAGATGCCCTCTCCTAGTCTTTTCCCCCTGCATCTGGTATATTAGCTCCAGTTCCAGGATGTATTTTTCATATGCTTGGCATTTCCTTCTGAAAATACCCCTAACCCTGTCTATACTATAGAAACCCTCAAGGCCTGAGTCCAAAGTCATTTCCTCATGAAAAGTAGGCATTACTGTTCAGACTGCTGCTTCTCCCCCTCTTCCATCTCTGGGGAGTTGGATGTTCCTCCTCCTGAGCTTTGTTAGCACTTTATTCTTCATCACTCAATTAGGTTTCATCCTTGGTCCTTACCATCTTTGTCATAAGTATCAAAATTACTTGTGGAGGGTTTTTCAGAAAACACACACACACACACAGTGTTCCATCATTGTAAATTGTAATTTAATAAGTCTAAGGTTCAGGCTAGACAGTGTATTATGCATATATAATAGATGCACTTTTAAAAATTCTCCATATCAAGTGTTAATAATACCTAATATGGAACATTTTATATTCCAATTGCTGTTCTAAGCATGTTCTGTGTAATCATCAACCCTCTGGAATAGGTATGACCACTGTCCTCATGTGTAGCTTAGAGAATTGAGGCACATCCTGGTACATTTTCTACCTTTTGTGTCTTTTTGTTTGTTTTTTTGAGCCAGTCTCCCTGTAGCCACAGCTGACTTGGGACTCAATAGCTATGCCTGCCTCTGCCTCTACTCCTGACGTGCTGGCGCCACTGTGCCCAGCTTCTTTTTGTGGCTTTATAAATTCCAAGAATCCAAGAATACAGTCCATAGCTTTAGTCACTTAGATACTCATTAATGTTTCTTTAATGAATGGTCAAAATGAATGTAAATGAGTCTAAGGACTTTGAGATGTAATTACTCATGAATGGGAGGGATTGACCTTTCGTCTCTGTTCTCCACATGCATAACGGTTAGACCCTTTCTTGGTATTCGGTTCTTATAGCTTGGTATATAGACCCTTGGGGTTTCCAAAGACACTTTCAGAGGGTTCACAAGATCAAAAGTATTTTCCTGACAACACTAGGACATTTGCCTTTTCTCCATGTTGTTATGTGTATTGATGATGCCAATCCAAAAGTCAGCAAATGCACCAGCTCCTTAGCAAGTATCAAGGCATCACACCGTGCAAGTCTCACACTTAGACAGTTAAAACCAAACAGGGCTAGTTTCCCTGAAAAATGTTCATGGTGAAGCAGTATAAATTTATTAACTTTGCTTAACCACTGAGTTTTTAATATTCTATCTAATGAAATGAAAGTATGTGTAGTGTACTTCTGTGCACACTGAACTGGTGGTTTCTCAAGAAACATTTGTGAGTTGAGAGAATAATTAAAATTGACAGAACAACAACAAATAATGAACATGAATGAGAACAAATGATGTTTGCTATTGTTTTTGTTTGCTTGTTTATTAGTTGTCTTGAGATGGGGTCTTATTCTATATTCCAGGCTGGCCTTGAACTCATGGCAGTCTTTCTGTGTCATCCTCCCAGGTTTGGGAATTAGGGGCCTGGAAAAATGTGAAATTTCAAGAGCAAAAATAGGTGGAGACATGTATTTGCTACTTTGAACCTAACAATTTCCCAATACTTAGAATGTTTTCTGATGAGATAGGTGGCAGTATTAATATTAATAAATGAAAGTATCAACATTTGAAAGATGTGTGTAAATTTAGTTAATATTTTCCAAATGCTTGGACCACAGTGTTACAAAATCATGTACGGTAAAAGGTTTATTCAAAGCCAAGGTAGGCCAGTAGATTTTAAAGCATTTAAAATTTTCATTGTATTTATTTTTCACTATCCATTTTTAAATTATTTACATTTATTTACAGTTTGTGTGTGTGTGTGTGTGTGTGTGTGTGTGTGTGTGTGTGCGCGCGTGCGTGTGCCTGCTCAGGTGCACATGCATATGTGTGAGGTCAGAAGACAATTTGCATGGAGTTGGTTCTCTTCTTGTACGTGTGGATCCCAGAGATGAAGCTCAGGTCATCATCCCAGCTGGTAGCTTTTAATATAGCATAATACATTGCCAAGGTTCCAGGTTACAATGATGCCAATGATCAACTACCTTTTACAAATTGCAACTACCCTTTAGGAGAGTACTACTTAACAAGTATCCACAATTTTCTGAAATGTCTATAAAAGTACTTTTTTCCAACTGTATCTGAAATCAAATTTTCTTTATTTCAATGAAACAGTGTAACATAACAGATTAAAAACAGAAATAGACACAAAAATCCTATTGTCCTTTTAAAAATTTATTTTTAAGTATTTGAGGTTTTGCCTACACATATGTAAGTGTACCCATGTGTGCAGCACCCGCAGAGGCCAGAAAAGGGCATTGGATCCCCTGAAACTGGAGTTATTGTTGTTATCCTTCATGTGGGTGCTGGGAACTGAACCTAGGTCTCTGTAATAGCAGCCAGTGCTCTTAACCACTGAGACAATCTTTCCAGCCCCTTCCCCACCTCACCCCCATCTGTTGGCTTTTAAGCCAAGTAATAAAGCTTTTAAAAAATGTGAGACAAGCCGCTTGGGAGGCAGAGGCAGGTAGATCTCTGTGAGAGCAAGGCCGCATAATTAAGTTTCAGGCCAAATGGGGCTACAGGGAGACCCTATATCAAAACAAACAAACAAAAATGTGAGTCCATGCCATTTTTGTCATTAAAATGAGTTGTGTTTTGGAAAACACAGTTGCTATTTATAATGTTACTTGAAGTGAATATTTTACATTTTTCTTAGTTTCCTCCTCCTCCTCCTTTTTTGTCTTTTGAGACAGGGTTTCCCTGTAGCTGCAGGTGGTCTGGAATTCGCTATGTAGACCAGGCTGGCTTTGATCCATCTGCCTTGCCTTTGTCTCCTGAGTGCTGGAACCAAAGGTGTGTGCCACTATGCCCAGCTTAATTATATTTTCTAATATAGTAGTATCAATAGATATAGCCCACCTATACATCTCTCAAGGGACCCTGAGAACAAATCATTTGAGACCACTTCCCTGTATCTCTGCTGCTCTCCTCACTGTTCCATTTCCCATAGGGTTTAGTAGAGTTCCTGAAATTAGCCCTGTCCTTTCCCTAGCTCCCTTTAGTGCTACTGCTCTGTTCTCAACTGAATTTTCTCCTCGAATTAAATATTACATGTTCAGATTGCACAGACCCCACAGATTGTGCACAATGTTGTGTATTCTTTTCTCCTTGCTTACTGGCCTCTAGACATCTCCAGAATATCAGAAACTGCAGGATTCCAGCTCTTGTTATGAGTCTCTTGCTCTCCATCTTGGCAGAAAGAGGAAGGAAGCAGAGTACACACTGGGCTTCTGGAAGACCTTTCCTGGAAAAATGACGGTAACCTGCCAACTGTCCTTTGTTACTCCAGCCAGTAACAGGCATTTGGGAACAGTTGTCATCATCACTTTCCCTGCTCCTCACTTGTTTGTAGTTGTAGCATTTTAATGATCTCTTTCTGTGACTGTCTAAGGACCACAGCAACTGTATTCTAAATACTAACACCCTCCTTCATTTCTCGGACTCCCATCTCATGACTTGCCTGATTTATTTATTATTATTTTTTTTTCTCTTGCCTTTTTAATCTCCTTTGGGCTCTAATTTTATGAAGTATCAGTTCTTAACCTAAATTTTATTTATTTTTATTTTATGTGTGTGAGTGTTTTTGTCTGCATGTATGTAAGTGTACAATGTGCATACAGTACCCATAGAGGCCAGTAAGGGTGTTGGATCCCTAAGAACTGGCATTAGCCACCATGTGGGTGCTGAGAACTGAACCCTGGTCCTCTGCAAGAACAGCCAGTGCTCTTAACTGCTGATCCATTTCTCCAGCCCCAGATCCTACCTAAATTTAAGTTTTAATACCACCCTTAGAATTCCCCTAAATGTGACTTATATCTGTTTCATTTTCTTTACATGTTAAAATACTTTTGATTGTTCATTGTAGTGTGTGTTTACTTGTAGGATTCCTTGAGGAAGCCAGAGCGCCGACTGCTATGTGAGAGCAGTAACCGAGCCCTCTCGCTGCAGCATGCTGGCAGGTTTTCTGTGAATTGGTTCATTCTCTTCAATGATGCCCTGGTCCATGCCCAGGTAGGCTGGATTCCTACCCTGAAAAGAAGCCCTGGAAAGTGAACTACTGTACTTACTACAGTTATGAGTTGCTTCATGATGAGATATGTTCTGAGAAATGTGGTGCTAGGCAATTTTATTGTTGTGTGAATGTCAGTGTATTCGCAAAAGTCTGGATGGTATAGCCTATGGCACACCCAGGCTGTATGGTCTAGCCTAGTGCTGCCAGGCTGTGACCTGTATTGTACTGAAGACTGTAGGCAGTTGTAACACAGTGGTGTATCTAAATATCTAAATATATATATAAACACATGTGTTTACACCAGTTTTCCCACAAGCACATGAGTGATGTTTGTGCTCTGATAGCCTATGATGACATCATCAGGTTGTAGGAATTTTTCAACTCTATTATAGTTTTTTGTGACCATCACTGTCTGACTGACTGATATGTCATGTAGTGCATAGCTGTGTACTGTCAATTTATGTTAAAAACTGTTGTGCTTTCTCTGTAATTATTGAATAAAAGAGAATGTTGAACTACTGCTGCCTCATTGGTGTGGGCCAGATTTGAGTGAACTTTCGGGGGTTTTTGGGGGGTTTGTGCTAAGGATTGAACACAGTGCCTCTTGTCTGTGAAGCTCGTGCTCTGCTATTAAGCTATACCCTCAGCTGAGAGAGGTTTTTTTTTTTTTTTCCCAGCTTGAGAATGAGTGTCAGTCATGCGAAGGGGTCCTGGAGCAGAGATGGGAAGGCTCACCAAAGTAGCTATGTTACGGGACTATGTAGCAGAGATGGTGCCACTCACGTGTACTTAATCATCTCAAGGGGTTTGGACTGCAGGGCCCACATGGGCTAATAATGTGAGAAAGACCTAGCAGAGACAATCTGGTTGACATGGGCTTTCACATACATGCCTCTGTATTCTCTGTTCCAGTTCTCCACGCACCATGTGTTCCCTTTGGCCACGCTCTGGGCAGAGCCACTGTCTGAAGAAGCTGGTGGTGTGTAAGTGTGCCTCCTCTTCCTGCTCCTCTGCTGTTTCCTTAAATGACTGGGGGGAAGCTTGGGAGGGCTTAGGAAACTGCCTCTCCATTCTATGCAATGAGACTCCCTTCCCAGCACACTAGATAGTAAAGGATTGGTAATAAAGTGTCCTGTTGATCATGATGAGTGGCAGAAGGACATAATTGCTCACTTTGCTATGTTAACACACAGCAGAGCTACTGTGTATCCTCTTCCCCTTGTGAGCATTTATACTGACTGACCTCGCCTCTTGAAATAAATAGTGTTCCATATTTGAGGACTGGTATTATAATGACAGGATGCTGTACCTACTGGCATTTATCCTTGTGAACATTTTAGGAATGGCTTAAAGATAACTACACCTGAAGAGCAGTTCACACTCATTTCCTCAACGCCCCAGGAAAAGGTTAGTCCAGCATGATGTTTTCTCAGTCTTTTCCCTGGCCTTTTCTGGTTTTTCTGGTAGTAAAGAAGAAATCAAAAGTGTTCTTGCTTCACTAATAACCCACAATTAAATCGGATAATTAAATCAAAACTATTTTCCTTTTTTAAAAAAATATTTTATTACTTTTATGTGTATGAGTGTATTGCCTGCATGTATGTGAGTGCACCTGTGTCATGCAATGCCTTGGTGGTCAGAAGAGGGCTTCGGATTCCCCTGTAACTGGAGTTCAGGATGGTTCTTAGCCACCATGTGGGTGCTGGGAATTGAACCTAGGTCTTCTGCAAGAAAAGTCAGTGCTCTTAACTGCTGAGCCGTCTCTCTAGCCCGAAACTTTAGATTTTCTAAAAAAAATTTCTATTTTATGTTTTGAGTGTATTGCCTGCATGCATGTAAGTATACCTGTGTCATACAATACCTGCAGAGGCCAGAAGAGAGTGTCAGATCCCCTGGAATTGGAGTTTTGGGTGATTGTTAGCCACCATGTGAGTGCTGAGAACTGAACCTGGGTCCTCTGCAAGAGCAGCCAGCACTCTTAACTTTTGAGCCATCTCTCTAGCCCCCAAAACTAGATGTTTGTCTTTTCTATTTTTTGTTTTGTTTTTCTGAAACAGAATCTTGCCATGTAGCCCTGGCTGGCCTGGAACTCACTATGTAGACCAGGCTGGCCTTAAACTGACAGAGATCCACCTGCCTCTGCCTGCCAAGTCCTGAGTTTAAATGTGTGCCACCATGCTGAGCATGTAGCAATACATTCTAAGAACTGATTAGTATAGCTCAATAAGAAAAGTAGAACTAGAAAGAGTATTCACAGTAAGAAAAGCAGCAGGATTTGAGGCTATGTTAATGAACTCTTTCCTTAAGCTTACTGACATTTACTTTTTGCTCCTAGACCAAGTGGCTCCGGGCTGTAAGCCAAGCTGTGGACCAGGCTTTGAAGGGGACATCTGATTTTCCACCTTATGGAGGTGGTGGCAGTGCTCAGAGGCAGGAACCACCCATTTCACGAAGTGCCAAATATACTTTCTACAAGGATCCTCACCTTAAAGGTGCCACTTATGATGGACGCTGGCTTTCAGGAAAGCCTCATGGCAGGTGAAAAGTGCTTCAGGTTTATCCCTGGGGTAAGACTGATAGTCACATTATGGAAGGACCATTGATTATCTGAAACCTTAGCTAATAGTATTCTTTGCTTATTCTTTCCAGGGGGGTTTTGAAGTGGCCTGATGGAAAGGTATATACGGGCATGTTCAGGAACGGCTTGGAAGATGGGTAAGGAAATCGTCTAAGATAGAGGATGAATTTAAATCTGGTCACAAGTTATTTTATGTTGGGAGTTGCTTTTCAGACAACCAGTTTTTTTTGTTGTGTTGTTCAGAAATGCAGTCACTGTATCAGGACTCAGGTGGATGTATGGGCATAAAGAGCTGGGATAATGTTGCTGGTGAGACAGCTGAAACAGTGGTGTCCCTTTTACTAAGGACACAGGAAAATTTTATTTTCAGTAGTTTTACAGTAATAGATTTTTCCCCACTTGCTGGTGCTGAAGATGGAACCTACGGCCTTTCAAATGCTAGACAAGTATTCTGCCATGAGCTACAGCCCCAGACTAGCTTTTAAGTAGTTTCATATTTGTTTCCCTATTAAAAAGGAATCTATTAAGTGCTATTATCCTGATGATACTCTAATGACATCATTTTTACACAAGTTTGTTATATTAGTTACTTTTCTGTTGCTGTGATAAAATACCATGACCAAAAGCCACTTAGAGAAAGAAGATTTTTATTTTGACTTTCAGTTCCAGAGGGTTAGAGTCCATAATGCTGCAGGAAGCTAGCTGGCTAATCACATTTCATCATCACACCAGGAAACACTGAACTGGAAGTGGGGCAAGGCTATAAACTTTCAAAGTGATTTACTTCCTCCAGCAAGGCCTCCACATACTGAAAGTTCCGTAACTTCCCCCAACAGCACCACCAACTAAGGACCAAGTATCTACGTACATGAGCCTGTGGGAGCATTGTTTCATTGAAACCATCACACTTGTCATATTTTCTTTTTTAAATTACATTTAGTTATGTATTGTGTGTGTGTGTGTGTGTGTGTGTGTGTGTGTATACATACATGCTACAGGGTATGTGTGGAAGTCAGAGGACAACTTATGGGAGTTGATTCTCTCCTACTTTGTGAATACTGGGGATTGAACTCAGGTCATCAGGCTTGATGACAAGTGGTTAGTGCCTTTACCACTAAACCATCTCACTGGTTCAGTTTGTCATATTTTTTAACATTGTAAATATATTTACATGATAGATTTATGGCAGTGAAATGTGTGTCATACTAAAGAAGAAATTTGTCTTACTATAAAAAGATACATAACTATGGAATTGAATGTGCATGTGTGGTAAGTTTTGTGATGTCTTTTAAATAAATATTTAGAATTTAAAGAGACGCTAGATACATTATATAATCTGCTTTACCCTACTTACTAGAAAGACTTTGGGAGCTGGCTTACCCAAAGTGATGCTGTGAATTAGTGACAGAGGTAGGCTGAGGACACAGTCTGCTTTTCTTTGCCTTTGGATTAATGCATCTCACGTCTCGTGGACTAGGCCCGATGTCCCATTCTTCCAGACTTTGCAAATGGTGTAGGTAGTAGACATAGTTTCAGCCAAGACAGCACTTACACTTTCCTATAGGTAAATCTTTTCCCTGTCCTCATTTAGTGCTTACTTATATGTACACTCAAAAGCTGAGTGTGCCATCTGTGCCCTTTCTGATGTTCTTTGTTTTCCGTGGCAGGTATGGTGAATACAGAATCCCAAACAAGGTCCTCAACAAAGAAGATCATTATGTAGGTCACTGGAAAGAAGGAAGAATGTGTGGCCAAGGAGTCTATAGGTAATAATATGCACTGGAAAGGTTTTGGGGCTGATGTTGCTTTTCCAAAGAACTGTAAACCTAAAGTTTGTGTAGGCAGAATTTCTAAGGAGTAAATTTTGTTTGCTTTTTTCGGTCACCAAAACAGTGCCAGATCTTTGTTTAAAGAGCATCCTCTCATCTATCACATGATAAAAATATTAAAATTGTACCTATTGTATAAGCCATGGCTTTCTACGTATCTTACCTATAAATCTAATTTTATTACTTGATGCTAATATGAGCAAAACTTTCTATTCTCTCCTCTTGTTGATGACTCATTATTTCATTTCCTGTAAGGGAGTAAACACAGTTTTTTTCCATGTTGATGTAAAAATAACACTCATGCCATCTTTAATTTCTGAGGCTTAGTTATTTCAAATTGAAGGTTTTTGATTGATTAAAAAATCAGTACTCATAGGGGCTAGAGAGATGGCTCAAGCAGTTAACAGCGCTTGCTGCTCTTGCAGAGGACTAGGGTTCCATTCCATGCACCAACCCATTTGACAGCTAACACCAGTACCAGAGAATCCAGTGCTTTCTTCTTGCCTCTTCTGGTACTGCACACACAATGCACTTAGATGCATGCATGCAAAACACTCATATACATAAAATAAAATTAAAAAATTCGTATATAGCACTGGGCGTGGTGGCTCACGCCTTTAATCCCAGCACTCGGGAGACAGAGGCAGGCAGATCTCTGTGAAGGCCAGCCTGGTCTACATAGTGAGTTCCAGGACAGCTGGGGCTACAGGGAGACCCTGTCTCAAAAAGACCAAAAAAAAAAAAAAAAAAAAACCAAAAAAACCCCTCATCTATAAATAATTATAACTACCCACAAGAGTATAGCTTTGTGTGAAATGTACATGTGATTTCTATCCTTTCCAACCACAGCTATGCCTCTGGTGAAGTGTTTGAAGGCTGCTTTCAAGATAACATGCGTCATGGGCATGGTCTCCTCCGGAGTGGAAAGCTGACTTCTTCTTCCCCCAGCATGTTCATTGGCCAGTGGGTAATGGATAAGAAAGCAGGATATGGCGTCTTTGATGATATCACTAGGTATGGTGTTGTAATCTCAGTATGTACTGTGAGAGGAGATGGTTCCCAGACTCCCCACACACCCAGTCATGATATTTCTTTATTTTTAATTATGTATATAAGTAAGTTGGGATGGATGTGTATACATGTGTGCAGGTGCCTGAAGAGGCCAGAAGAGACTGTTGGATCCCCTGGAACTGGATTAACAGGTGATGTGAGCCACCTGATGAGGGTGCTAGGAACTGAACTCCAGTCTTCTGTAAGAACAGTATATATTCTTCACCTCTGACCCATCTGTTCAGTGCCCAAAATCATGATACTTTTATGAATACTTGAGCATCTTACACTTGCTCTTAGGCAGAAGGCCAAGCAAGAGGCAATCAAGTTAAGCATCTTAATTTGACAGTGTTAAGAAACTTTTCTTTTAAAAAAATAACAAAAAACTTAAGGGCTGGAGAGATGGCTCAACGGTTAAGAACACTGGTTGTTCTTGCAGAAGACCTGGGTTCGAATCCCAGTACCCACATGGCAGCTAATAACTGTCTGTAACTCCTGTCCCAGGGGATCCAACAGCCTCTTCTGATCTCCGCAGGCATTGCACGACATGGGTACACTTACCTACATGCAGGCAATACATGCATACACATAAAAATAAATAAATAAAATTAAAAAAAAAAACTTTTATGTGTGTATTTTGCCTTTATGTATGTAAGTTCACCACATGCATACAATGCCCCTAAGAGGCCAGAAGAGACTGTTGGGTCCCCTGGAACTGGAGTCACAGACAGTTGTTAGCTGCAATGTGGGTGCTGGGAATCGAACCCAGGTCCTCTGGAAGAACAGCAAGGGTCCTTAACCACTGAGCCATCTCTCCAGCCCCAAGAAAACTTTTCAGCCTAGGCATGGTGGCATGTGGTAGTATATGCTTGTAATCCCAGCTAAGGGAAATCTAAGATAGGAGGATTAAAAATTTGAGGCCAAGGCTGGGCATGGCGCACGCCTTTAATCCCAGTACTCGGGAGGCAGAGGCGGGCAGATCTCTGTGAGTTCAAGGCCAGACTGGTCTACATAGTGAGTTCCAGGACAGCTGGGGCTACAGGGAGACCCTGTCTCAAAAAGACCAAAAAAAAAATTGAGGACTGCCTGGGCAATGTAATGAGACCCACCCACCCCCTAATAAAAGAAACAGAAAACTCTGCAGAAGGAAATAGTTGTGGAACATCTTTTTTTTTTTTTTTTTTTTTTTTTTTTTTTCTTGTTATCTATGAGCCAAACAATAAATTACTCCTTTACAAAATCAGGATCATTCAGAATTCACATGGGTACTGTTTTCCTCAAAGTTTCTACATACAAAGGTTTTACTGTCTTAAGCTACCCAATATTTATTTATTTACATATTTGTTTGAGATTAGCTTTCTAGCCCAAACTGGTCTCAAACTCCTTATATAGCCAAGGATGGTCCTATACTTCCTCAGTGTTAGGATTATAGGTATGTGCCACCATGCCTGCTCTATGAAGTTTTGGGGATCAAACCTTTATTATAACAAAATCTTTATTATATAGAAAAAAGCAAAACTTTTAATGAAAATCACTAGAAAATAAGAATAAAAGCTAGGGGAAAATCAGTGCTAGACACCCAGAGCAGTCTAGACACCCTTTGGAGTTATAGATAGAGTGGTGTCTGGATACAGATAACAAATTCCTACAAGTTGTCCTCTGATCTCCACACATGTGCTATGGCATGCACCCTGTCCCCCAAGATAAATAAATAAAGCATAAAACTTTTAAAAATTGTATTTATTACCAACTAAATTTCATGAATTAACAAGTAGTTTATTTCTCCCTCCCTCCCTTGCCACTTCCCTCCCTTTGTGCTCCACCCACTTTCTAACACACTATATCCCTGGCCCTAGTCTATATTTTTATTTTTGAGGCAGGGTCTTGCTCTCTAGCCCAAGTTGTTCTCACACTTGAAATTGGCCTAGCTTTTCCTTCCAGGTGTTGGGATTATAGGCATGTACTAGCAGTGGAGATAAGTAAGAACTCTCTAAGCAGGTGAAAAATTATTCAAAGATTTGATTTTATTATATTTTAAATTCTTGGCATTCATTTGCATATTTTAAAGTTATCAAGGAAAAATAGAGTGTATGCCAGTCTGCTGGGTAAGCCACAGTATCAAATCCCTGTGAAAATACTGCTCTGAGTAAGATGTCTTTGGCCATCACATTTTCCTTTGTTTGAGCAGAGTTAACTCCTTCCAGTAGAGAACGGGCACCAGCCTAGGGGTATAACTTGGATCTCCCGTGTAATAATTGGTTTCCTCCACTTGTATTTGTTATCTGTGGCTTTTCATTTTTCTTTTCTTATTATTTCTGCGCAGGGGAGAAAAGTATATGGGAATGTGGCAAGATGATGTATGCCAAGGGAACGGGGTGGTAGTTACTCAGTTTGGATTATACTATGAAGGCAACTTCCACCTGAATAAAATGTCGGTGAGTGGAGTGTTTACATGTAGCAAGTATCCACTTTAAAAACTCCTATGTTCCTAACTTTTTTTTTTTTTTTTTAATTAATGGTTTTCTTTTGTTGTTTTGCTTTTGGGTTGGTTTTCTTGAGACGGGGGTCTTTCTCTGTAACCCAGGTTAGTCTAGAACTCTTGGAAAACCTCCTGCTTCTACCCCCAAGTCCTGGGATCGCCTGGTCCTATTTGACTTTCTTAGCACTATTTTCCTTCTCTTTTAAGATGCTGGAAGGCTTGGGGGTATGGCAGTCTGCACTATTAAGGTATCGTGCTATCTACGTGTTGTGATTTCTGTTTTGCTTCTTCATGCAGGGTAATGGGGTTTTGCTTTCTGAAGATGATACTATCTATGAAGGAGAATTTTCCGATGACTGGACTCTCAGTGGAAAGGTTAGAAAGCAACTTTGTTTTCCTTTCTTTACATTGCTTATTTATTTTTCTTGATTTTAAGAAGGTTGTTGCATACCATGGAAGTCCCTACTTCTAAGAGTCCATTTTAATGATTCTTTTTAAAAAACATTTTAAATTTATTTTTATTTTATGTGTATGAGTGTTTTGCCTGCATGTATGTAAGTGCATCCATGTCACGCAGTGCCCACAGAGGCCAGAAGAAGGCATTGGATCCCCTGGAACTGAAGTTACTGATGGCTGTTAGCCACCATGTGGGTGCGGGAAGAGTCTGGGTCCTCTGCAAGAGCAACCAGTGCTCTTAACTTCTGAGCCATGGCTCCAGCACCCATTTCAGTGATTCTTAATTAATATGCAGTTAAACAACTGTGACCACAATCTAGGTTTTAAAATGCCCATCTCTCCTGATCATACATAGGCATTCATACCTATATCCACCTCCAGTCTCTGGCAACACTACTGGGCTTTATCGTCCTATAGATTTGCCTTTTCTTCTCTGGAGTGTTTTTTGGTTTCTGTTTTTTGTTTTTGTTTTTTGACACAAGCCAACTGGCCTGGAACTCATGTAGATCAGGAACTATTATCAACCAGACTGGCCTCAGTGTGACTGGGAACCCCTTCCTCTGCCTCCATAGTGCTGAGTTTAAAGGTATGTAGGCATTCCTTTTAAATGGAATCACACATGTGGCTTATGGCTTCTTCTCTGTGGCTTTTCACATGCACCATATTTTTTAAGGTTTTCCATATTGTAGCACAAATAACTCCTAGTGATCTTCCTGCCTTCATTCTTTTTTATGTTTCCCCAAACCACATTTAATTTATCCCTTCACTAGCTGGATTTTAACTCTAGACTATTGGGCATAATTGTGATAAACACTTCAGAGCAGCTTCTTATGGAGATGTTTTCATTTCTTTTGAGTAATAACTAGGAATTCAATCACAGGACTGTGGCAAATAAGATTTACCCTTGTAACCTACACAAGTGAAGAATGTTTAACAAAGTAGATGTTCCATTTTACATTTCTACTAACAGTGTATGAAAACTCCAGTTTCTCCATATCTTTGCCAATACTTACTTTTGTATTTCTTTTTTATTCAGTTTGGCAACTAGGGTCTCATATATCATACAGCCTAGGCCAGCCTTAAGCTCACTATGTAGATGAAGATGACCTTGAACTCCTGATCCTTACCTCCAGAATGCTGGGTTTACCCCTACAACTAGTTTACATGGTGCTGGAGATCCAACCCATGGCTTTGTGCATGCTAGGCAGGCACGCTTATCAACTGAGCTACTCTCTAGCCCCTAATACTGTTTTCTCTTGGACAGAGTCTCACTCTGTTGCCCAGCGTAGCCTAGAACTCACTAAGTAGCTCAGGCTGGCCTCTAGTCTGCAGTGGTCCTCCTGCTTTAGCCTCCTGAGGATTATAGACATTAGTGACCACTCCAGCTTCAATGTTTCTTTTCTTTCTTTCTCTTTTTTTTTCAGTCATTAGAGTGAGTATGAAGTGGGAGCTTCTAGTTTTAATTTTCATTTTCCTAATAACTGATGATACAGACCATGTTTGCATGCTTATTGGTAACTCATATGTCTTCTTTAGTGAAACATTGTTCTTATCTTTTGCCTCTTCCTTCTTCCCCTCCTTCTCCCTCTGATTCTCAATTTTCTCTGTGTTCTCTGTCTCTCAGTGTTTCTCTGTCTGTGTCTTTCTTTCTCTCTTTCTCTTACAGTGTCTTGCTTTGCCCTGGCTAGTCTGGAACTATCTGTATAAACCAGGCTGGCCTCAAACTTACAGCAGTCTTCCTTCCTCTGCCTCCCAAGTGCTGGCTACCATGCCTTTCTTTTCCCCATTTCTAAACTTTGGTTGTTTCTAGTCTTGCTGAGTCTTAAGAGTTCTCTGAGGGGCTGGAGAGATGGCTCAGTGGTTAAGAACACTGGTTGTTCTTGCAGAAGACCTGGGTTTGATTCCCAGCACCCACATGGCAGCTAACAACTGTCCGTAACTCCAGTTCCAGGAGATCTCACAGCCTCTTCTGACCTCCATGGGCATTGCATGACACAGGTGCACTTACCTGCATGCAGGCAGTACATGTATACACATAAAATAAAAATAAATAAAATTTTAAGAAAAAGTTCTCTGAATGTCTATATTGGACATAATGATTACATGTATTTTCTACAGCCTGTGGTTTCTCTTATATTCTCTATGATGGCTTGTTTTTGTTGTTGTCGTTTGTTTTTTCAGAGGCTCACTCTGTAGCTTTGGTTAGTCTGGAAGTTACTATGTAGCAAAGGCTGGCCTCTAACTCTTAGTGGTCTTCCTGTCTCAGCTTCTTGAGTGCTGGCACCATGCCTCGCTAAATGGTGTCTTGAAGTATAAAAGCTGTTAAATTTTTAACAAAGCCTAATCTATCATAAAAACTTATAAATTAATACTTTCACTTTCAATCTAAAAATCTTTGCCCAAGTTGTCTTTTTTTTTAAGATATGGTTTCACTGGCCTCAAACCCACAGCAATCCTCCTGCCTCATTCTCTCAAGCTCTGAGAATAGCTACCATGCCCAGCCAAAGTTTCCTTTTAAAAATTTTGCAGTGAGGGCCTAGAGAGCTGGCTCAGTGGTTAAGAGCATGTAGTACTCTTAGCAGAGGACTGGAGTCCGGTTCCCAGCATCCAAATTGAGTGGCTCACAACTGCCTGTAACTCCAGCTCTAGCAGGATCTGATGCCTCTAGTCTTCACAAGCACTCACGTTACATACTTAACACATAAACATTCAGACACACACACACATACACAATTTATAATAAAAATAAATCTTAAAAAAATTGTTTTATAGTAAGTTAAGTGTGCAGTTCAGTAATAGAACACTTTCCTAAGCATGTGCAAGGTCCTGGGTCTGTTCCCCAGCACTATAAAAATAACTAAATAGAAGTTTTATAGTTTTTAACATCTTACAACTATAGATCTTTGATTTGCTTTAAGGTGTTTTTGTGGCTGAAGTAAGAGCCCATGGGCTGGTGAGATGGCTCGGAAAAAGGTGCTCGCTGCACAAGCCTAATGATCTGAGTTCAATCCCTGGGACCCACATAAAGGTAGAAGGAGAGAACCAACTCCACAGAGTTGTACTCACACATCATACACAGTTTTTAAAAGGTTTAAACTTTTAAACTTTTTTAAAGTTTAAACTTCTCTTTTTTCATGTTGCCTCTGCACCTTTTCCTGTTGAATCTTCTTGATATCGTTGTTGAAATTTCCATGAACTTACTACATAGCCGACAGTGACCTTGAATTCCTGATCCTCCTACTTCCACCTCCATGTGCTGGCACATAGGCATTTACATGCACAACTTAATTTTGTATAACTTTCAAAGAAACAACCTGGTTTCCTTGAGCACTTTTTTCTCCTGTTCTGTTTTCGGTTTCACTGATATCTTTTCTGATCTCTATTGCTTCCTTCCTTGTTGCTTTGGGTCTAGTTTGCTCTTCTTATCCTAGTTTTGTAAGGATAGAATTTCAGGTTCCTAGCTTGAGACCATTCATATTTTGCAAGACAGGTGTTAACAAACCATACATTTCTTCCTAAGTACTGGTTTTGCATTATCCCTAAAATTTTAGTCTATTTATTGTGTGTGTATTTTATACATCCAAAACATATTTTCCAGTTTTTTCCTGTGACTTCTTTCTCTTTTACCCATCAATTATTTTCATACATTCTTTCTGGGCATGTACATCATGCAATTTTTTTGCTTATTTATCAGAATTGAAACTGGTAAAGAACAAAGTAGAAAGGAAAGTGTTAAGTGTTTAATGCTGTTTTTCCTCTTAAATTTTTTAATTGAAAATACATCCTCTAATGCCCCTTTTCTATCCCTCTTACTTTACCCAGGGAACACTGACTATGCCAAATGGAGATTATATTGAAGGTTATTTTAATGGAGAATGGGGATCTGGGATAAAAATCACTGGAACCTACTTCAAACCAAGTCTGTATGAAAGTGATAAAGACAGGCCCAAAGCCTTGTAAGTATTAATTCTAGGTTAACTGCTGAGTGCTTCCAGTTGTCCTGCTTTCCTCAAAGCAGCTTAATATTTTAAAGCAAAACCACATTTTAAAATTATTCTTTTTAAAGAAGATATAACCTCTTTGAGTTGTCAGTGGATACTGACGATCCTTAAATCTATGGTCTTGGCTTAAATTATAAGCCTTAGTGCATAAGTGTTTAAAAGTTGCAGATATGGCTAGTCATGGTGGCACATGCCTTAATCCCAACCTTTAGGCAGCAGAAGCAGGTGGAGCTCTGTGAGATCGAGGCCAGCCTGGTCTACATAGCAAGTGCTAGGCCAGCTGAGGCTACATAGTCAAAGTTGCTGATATGGGAAGAATCCTGCTGTGAATAGTATAGACGCCCATATTGACGGAAAGAGCATTCTTAGATGAATCCCTGTACATCCTGAGTTTGAAAAGTGAAGCTCAGACACACACAGGTAGAATAGTACAGCCTGCGTATATGATGAAAAAAGCAAAATCTAAGTATAATGTGTTCTAAGTTTTTGACTGTCCTTAGCTAACTGATTGCACCTTAAGCTTTGAGATATTTCTGTTTGTTTTTGGAGATGTCTCACTATGACCCTCCTGTCTCAGCCCTCTGAGGACCAGGATTACAGGTGTGTGCAACTGTGCCCAGCACTGTTGTTGTTGTTGTTGAGGGAGGTGTTGATTTTTAAAACTTGTTTTTATATTTTGGTACATTTTAGATTCATTATTCCAATGAGAATGTTTTCTGGACCATTTTTTTTTCTGGAATATTTTTAGAACCCTGTATGTAGTGCATTTCATAGTTCTTATCCCAAAATCTCTGAAGTATAGAAAGCCCTGGGTTTTTTTTTGTTTTGTTTTGTTTTTTGATTTTTTTTTTATTGAATTTTTGCAATTCCCATACAATATATTTTGATGACATATCTCCTCTCCCATCCACACCTCCTCCCATTACCCTCCCTCACTCATTTCAATGTACCCTCTCTGTATAATGAAGCCTATAGAGTCTGTCTTGAATCCCCAAATGTTCTCTAGTGTGGGTTCATCCACTGGAGTTTGCGTAGGACTTGTGTCTTACAATCTTTCCACCTCCTCCTCTGCCATGATCCCCAGGCCTTGTGCTCCAGAAGCCCAACAGGGGCCTTCCACTCTTAGATAAGCACTCTGCAGCCCCCTCCTCCCTGCACATTAGAAAGCCATAAGTTTCTGTGTCAATCACCATCTGCTGCATAAGGAAACTTCTCCAGTGAAAAGTTGAAAGATGCATTAATCTTCAACAGTGGGTGAGTACCTGATCCTGCACAGTCCATTCCAATCATCCCTCTTGGGACTGGGAGTCCATATTATTACGGAAGTACCAGTTACATCTCATAGGAGGGGAACCACAGGCTCTAGCTCACAGGAGAGGACCACATCTTCAGCTCACAGGAGAGAACCAGGATTCCAGTCCACAGGAGAGGACCATGACTCCAGCTTATGGGAAGAGACCACAGCTCCAACTCATGGAAGGGGAACCACGACTTCTGCTCACAGGAGAGGAGCAGAGCTCCAACTCATATGAGGGGTCCACAGCTCCAGCTCACAGGAGGGGAACCACAACTCCAGTTCACAGGAGGGGACCACAGCTCCAGCTCATATGAGGAGTCCACAGCTCCAGCTCACAGGAGGGGACTGCAGCTCCAGCTCACCTGAGGGGGCCACAGGTCCAGCTCATGAGGGGACCACAACTCCATCTCACAGGAGGGGACCACAACTCCAGCTCACAGGAGGGGAATCACAGCTCCAGCTCATAGGAAAGGACCACAGCTCCAGCTCACAGGAGAGGAACCACAGCTCTAGTTTTCTTTCTTTCCTTAGGGTCTCAGGCTCTCAAACAGTTTTTCTCTGAATGTATCTTAAGTACACTCATGTCCTGCAGTGCCCACGGAGGTCAGAAGAGGGTGTTAGATCCCCTGGAACAAAGATATTTCACTTGACTGTCTAAGATTTGCTCCTTTGCTTAAAATCCCCCAGCCACAATCTTCAGAGGGGACAGGCCCAAGATGGCTGGGTGCCTGGGCTGCACTCCTGCCTCCTGGGCGGATCCCCGCTCATTTCTTGGCTGCTGAGTGGCGCCTCACGTGTCATTGTGCCCCAGACCTCCAGGTGGGGGCTGCCATGGTCACACCGGAGAAGCTCGTGAAGGCCTTCAAGTCATTCAGGTCAATCCAGCAGCAGCAGCAACAGCACCTGCCATTGCAGCCATTATTATCCAGATGGTTGTGGACTTGTGAGATTTTTTGGATCCATGTTATAAATGCACAAGGGCACAGTCCTCTTCAAGACTCTTCTCTGATAACATTTCATCTTTAGCACCGTAGGCTTCTGCAATCATTGCAGCTTCAACTTGGTCATGATCAGATTGGATTCTTGTAGGAATTCTGACTTCAGGTTCCCTGGGTCCATGGCGGCAGTCAAATGCTTGCGCATTTTGGTCAGTTGGGGCCACAGGGACTGGCTACCTGCCACAAGGGCTTCTCCTTCAGTGCTACTTTAGCTTTGACTCCCTGAGGAGAAGTTCAGCCATGTTATCTCATTGGCAGTGAGCTTGGTTGACAGATGCTTGAAGAACTCAGACGTCTGCTCCTGCTGGCACTCAGACTGGTAGCCCTCGATCTCCATCACCATCCAGGGACCCACCTTCCTGGTTGCCATTGCCTGGTATGGAACAGGCTGGGGCAGAAAGCCCTGGTTTTAATGGGAATCTAGTTTATAGACTCAATTCTGTGGAAATGTAGACCACAGGAATCCATTCTGATGTGCTCTATGCATAACAACCTATATACTTTAGTATCTAATAAACAGTGAAAACTAATTAACAAAAAAAAAAAACAAAACAAAAAAAAAGACCCTTCTAAATTTTCTTCTAGTGTTTTTAAGCCAGAACGATTACCAGTGTTGGCAGTGTGATCACAAAAGTAGCCTAGGTTATATTTTATTAAGCTTTTATTCTTTGGAATGATTTTGCACAGAAATAGTGATAAATAAAAGACTGACATGGCTCTATTAGCAGGAAGCTGGGAAACCTGGCAGTGGCCGCTGATGAGAAGTGGAAATCAGTGTTTGATGGATGTTGGCATCAGCTGGGCTGCGAAAATCCAGGCCAGGGGGAAGTTTGGAAAGCATGGGACAACATTGCTGTAGCCTTGACCACAAATCGGCGCCAGCACAGGGACAGGTGAGCGAACACCCGCACAGCATGTGGCAGAACATGTTAAAGGAGAAGAAATGTAAAACCAGGCAGTAGTCACGCTTGCTGCATTTATTTAGAAAACTGTAATAATTTAAAAGATAATGCTCTGGGACGCTGTTGACCACACTGAATTGTGACTGACTTGGACTGGTTTCAGCCTAGCAGAAGAACCTCATTTGAAAGGAGAAAAGTGCTTCTATATTTCAGACCTGGCCAGATGTCTCTAGCACTAAGTTCCTTTGTCAGTCACCGCTGGATCACATAGGTGACCTGGGAGAATGAGAGTGTGGGGGCTGGAGAGATGGCCCAGTGGTTAAGAGCACTGACTGCTCTTGGAAAGGACTGGAGTTTGATTCCCACTACCCACATGACAGCTAACAACCATCTGTAACTCCAGTTCCAGGGGATCTGACAACCTCTTCTGACCTCCACAGGCATTACACGACATGGGTACACTTACATACATGCAGGCAAGGCACTCATACACAAAAAAATAAAAATAGTAAGAGTGTGGCCATAACGTTGACCTAGAGCTACAGATCTCCCAGGTGATGCAGGCCCTGCCAACTGTGGGAAAAGTGCCCTGGATGAAGGACAAGTTCCCCAGAACTACCAGGAATTCTTGGTATGCCTGGCGGGGTGGCATCTTCCAGCCCTCCTGGTTTCTGCAAGCCTGCCTCCTGCACTTTGCAGGCTGGTCAGCAAGGGGCCTGACCAGTGAGAGGCTTAGTGCCGCAGGCCATCTACAGAAACCACTCTTCATGACGCATTGTGGTAGAGAAACAGCACCCAAAGCTTGGACAAAGATGACAGTGTGTACCTTTAACGCCAGTACACAAGTCCTGCTTGACTGTCAGATTTAGAACAGGTGCTATTCAGTTGTCCTTTTTCCCTTGGAAGTGAATCATAGGAAAAAAATGTTAATTTTCTTTAAATTTATAATCTTCCCAGGGTCTTGAACTTTAGCGTTCTGTTCGTATGTGATGCAGCATGGACCACTGTGCCAATAAGCAAAATAACTGTTTGGTCTGCTGCTCATTTTCCCTTTTTATTTAGATATCCTCAGATTATTGGTTTAGGTATAGAGAATATTACTGGGCTGCTAATGAAGAAACTGTACCGCATTCAGTAAAACTGGTGCCTAGAATGTATTCTCTCCAGAGTGGTTAGCAAGGGCTGTGCTACCGGAAATGCTTTACAGCGAGCAGTGTTTTTCATATTCATCTGAATTTGTGTTGAAATGTATGTACTGTCCCCAAACTCATTAATATTTTAGCTCTTTTTTAATTAAAGATTTATTTTAAATTTTGCATACATACATTGAGGGGGCTGCATGTGAGTGCCCACAGAGACCAGAAGCTTCTGATCCTCCTGGAGCTGGGATGACAGGCGGTTGTGAGCCACTCAAAATGGGTGCCTGGAACTGAACTCAGGTCCTCTATAGGAGCAGTATGCACTCTTAACCACTGAGCCATCTCTCCAGCGCAATATTTTGAGCTCTTCTCTATGAAAACAAAGAAGCAATTTTAATGCCCTGGCATTCACAGTTTAATTGATGAGATTATTTATTTAAAGACTCAAGGTAGCAGTTGTACCAAAGATGAAATAAATATGATTTCTTAATGTCTTACACATTTTTTAAATAAATAATCAGGTTCACTGAACTTATCTAGGTACATTAAACTTTTAAGTTAGTGGTATTTCTCAAAAAAATAAGTTAATGAGTAAAATGGTTTTAAAAAAGAACACCCTCCTTATTTTATTGAATTTAACTATTAAATGTGAACAGAATGCATTCACAGCTCTTTGAGAACTCTGAAAAGCTATCAGCAAGTGAGTCAATGGTGAGTTAACAGGGTTTCTCTCCATGATTCCTCAGCCTGAATTCATTGTCACCCAAAACCTGAGAGTAAGCTCTGTGCACAGCCAGCACAAGGGTCAGACAGACCTTCCACTTCCAACTCAAGGAGGAAGACGAGGACCTGAAACACAGCCTGGGGCTGCATACCTAGCTTGCTTCTTTTTTTCCAGTCTCTCATGCTCTAGCTTCCAGCTTGGGAGCAGGGGATGGGCCAATGGCAGTAGCTAGAGCAACCACAAACAGAAAGCTTATAGGAGCCACAGCTTCAAGAGTGGTGCCATCTTCGTGGGTTGGTGGATCCTTAGACCAAAAGGAAAGGCCAGCTCCATTGAGTTTTGGGCTTCACCCACTATGCTGCCACCATTGGGCCCTAGGTATAGCACATTCACCAGGAAGGTGATGGAGAGAGAGAGAGGAAAGAGTTCTGGAAACAACCCTGTAACATTGTCTGTGAATTCCTGGCCTCAGCCCAGCCTGCACATACATCCACATGATCTGAATTAGTATGCCATCGACTTTGAGAACTAATAGGTAGATCCATACTCAGGTCCCAGGCTGACCACTAAGCACTACGTGCACAGTACAGACCCAAAGAGGACTGCAAAGGCTTTGAGTCGTGAAGTGATATTGGAAACACAGCCCACAGAAGACTGCGACAAAAAGCATAAGGGTTTCCCAGGATCACTACACATTGAATGACTCACTGGAAGGGATGAAAAGGCTCAAAATGTAGTAGTCTTTACAAGTAAGATTACAGCAGCACAGTAAAGGTCACAGCCAGATAGTAACAGAGGAAGACACACAGAGTCCAGAGGATTCCATGTGGGAGCTTGCCCTGCTCCCACACAGCACCAGCTCCTCCTGGAGGGAAATGCAGGCACAGTGTAGTGTTTGTGCACAGGGAAGCACATTGAGACCCCATGCCTCGGTTTCTAACTGGAGGCAACTACCGAATTCTACAGTCTCAGCAGGAAAACAGGTGTTGATCATAAATCATAGTGTTGCTACAGATTGCACAGCGTGTGCCCTTACCAGTTAGGGAAAGTTTTATGTCTGTGTAGGGAACTTTTAGTGAAGCTAGTTCCCAGGCTCAGCCAAGGGTAAATCATAAAAGCAGGTACTTCTGTTTACTCTTACGCATGCCAGAATTCATCACAGCATGTAAATAAGACCCAGAGAAACCAGCTCATTTGAGAAGAAACAATCAAAAGGGGTTAGCTGGCAAAAACTTCAAAGAGTAATTACAAAAACACTCAAATGAGCAATCATAGACATTCTGGAAACGAATGTTAAAATGAAATTGTCAGCAAAGAAACACAAGACGAAAAGAAGAACCAAATTCAGGTTTTAGAGTTAAAAAGTACAGTCACTGCAAGAACTCAGCAGGAATGTGGCCGCAGAACTGAGATGCTAGTGGAAGACCCAGTGACTTCAGAGTGGATAAGCTAGTTCTGCAGCACAGAGGAACAACCTGTGTGGAGGGCTGGATAGAGCTTGTGGACTTAGGGGTCTTAATCTGTAGCCTTAGAATTCTCGAAGAAGAAAAAGGATATTGTTTTTGAAGAAATAATGGTTGAAAAAGCCCCGATATTTGGTAAAAGACACGAACCTGTAGAGACTAGAAGCTGAGCAAACCCCTTCTTAGATAAACAGCAATCTAGAGTTAATCATATTCAGAGGCTTCACATTCAAATTCAAAGAAAAAGATCTTGAAAGAAGCTTGAGAGGAATGATCATCACATCTTTCCTCCTTTTCTCCATCTGCCTTTCTTCACTGCTCCTAATGCCCACGAGCATTGCTGTGCATTTGAACTGAAAGAATTTACTAATCCCTGCAACACAGTCTCCTACCTTGACTATAATTGCAGGTAGTTGTTGGCACTGTTCCTTTACTGTTAAAATATCTCTGTGTACAGCTAAATTTGATGTTTGTTTGTTTGTTTGTTTGTTTTTTGAGACACTATCTCACTATATAGCCCTGGCTGGCCTGGAACTCACTATGTAGATGAGACTGGTCTCAAACTCAAAGAGATGTGTCTGCCTTTGCCTCATGAGTGCTGGGATTAAAGGAATGCACCACCACACATGCACCACCATGCCTGGAACGTTTGTTTTTTGTTTGTTTGTTTGTTTGTTTGTTTGTTTGTTTGTTTTACAAGATTTTCTTCTCTATAGTTTATCCATTACTATATTTAAGCATATAGTATGTGATAAGTATAGACATTTTATTTATTTATTATTTATTCATTTTTATTCATGAATCTATGTGTGTCTATGCACATGACTGCAGGTGCCTGTGGATCCCTTTGGAGCTGTATTTACAGACTGTTGTGAGCAGCTTGGTCTGGGTGCTGGGAACTGAACTCAGGTCCCCTCTGCAAGAACAGTATATATTCTTAACCACCGAGCCAACTCTCCAGCCCCATACATTTGATTTTAAAATTTAATTTTGCGTTGTTTTACACTTACATTTGTTAGTTGCTTTCTACTAATCAGGGACTAAAGAAAACTCAAATTTTGACATTCAGCATATGATATCATCAAGAACTATGTGGTAAAGGTGAGCTAGAATCACAGTTACGTGGACTTCACGAGCCAATGACAAAACTGTGATAGTCACGCTCCCCTGCTGAAGGCCCTCAGTATAACTCCTTGCTCCCCAAGCCCATTTACATCTCTTCCTTTGTCCTTGGATTACTTTTTTCAGCTTTTGTCCCTTGTTATTTTGTTTGTTTGTTTGTTTGTTTGAGACAGGGTCTCACTGTGTAGCCCTGACTGGCCTAGAATTCACTATACAGATGAGGCCACTTTTGAACTCCCAAAGATCCAGCTGCCTCTGCCTCTGATACTGGGATTAGAAGGGGTGCCAGCACTCCTGGCTTCCATTTTCTTTTCAATAGCAGAGCTAGTAACACTTTCTCCTTCAAGCTCATGCCGTGGATTTCTCGGCACCATGTTTTATGTTGAACAGTGCACTGTTTTGAGAATTTCTTATAATTGATATGAAGTAACGTCAAATGCCATTTTGAATGGACGTTACAGAACAGCACGTCAGCTACAGTGAGCATGTTGGGCCTGTGCCAGATGCTCCACCTCCTCCTCAGCTCGTGACGATTTGATATACATATTCACAACTGCTCATACTGAGTTTTCTCTTTGTCTTTACAGTCCAGAAATATTAAGCCGTTCACAGACTCAGACACTAGAGAGTTTGGAATATATCCCCCAGCATGTTGGTGCCTTCTCTGTGGAGAAATATGATGACATCAAGAAGTATTTAATAAGGGTAAATGACTCAAAATATGGATTAATGACAAAATTATGCTGGCAATCTCAGGACATGGGAGGATCAGGAGTGCAAGGCCATTTTCCACTAATACATTTGAAGCTAGCCTAAGCTGTAAGAACTCTGTCTCATCCTTCCCCCTAAAAGTTCCAAAGCAAACAGTCATCACTCAAATGTTAACCTAATCCTGATTTTTTTGTTTGTTTGTTTGCTAATTCTTTGACTTTTTCTTTTTTAAAGACAGGCTCTCACTATTATAGCCCAGGTTGGCCCTGAACTCACAGTACTCTTCCTGCCCCAGCCTCCCAAGTGCTGAGGTTATAGGTTTGAGCCACTAAAATTGGTACTAATCCTTTTTTAATTGATAGATAATAATAGCACATTTCTGTGGGAAACAGTATGATGCTTTGATATATTTATATAGTGCGTGTTTATCAGTTTTGGGTACTTAAGTTATCCATCGTCTCAATGTTTATCAAGTCTTTTTGGTGAGAACTTCCAAATCCTTTCTTCTAGGTATTTTGAATTATACAATACAATATTATTGACCATAATCCCCTCTGTGTAAGACACACACTGTCACTACAATGGAAAACTATTTTCTGCAATAGAAAACTATTCAGCCATTAAAAAAAGACAAAATGGTATTCCTGATATGAAATACCATTGAAAGAAAGATTTCATCATATTTTAAACTTCACAAAAATTAACCAGGCACAGAGGCATATTCATTATAATTCTAGCCCTTGAAAAGCTAAGGCAAGAGGACCACAAGTTTGAGGCCATCCAACTTACATACCAAGACCTTGTCCCAAAAACAAAATACAAGAGCTGGAGAGATGGCTCAGCAGTTAAAAGCATTTGTTGCTCTTGCTGAGTTTCATTCCCAGCACCCATGTTGGGTGGCTCACAACTGTCTGTAACTCCAGCTCCAGGGGGATCTGAAGTCTTTGGCCTCTGGGCACCTGTATTTGTTTGCATGTACCAACACACACATAAAAATAATAAAAATAAGTCTTTAAATAAATAGAAAGGGAAAAAAGACAAAATTTCACAAATTATATGAAGTGTTACCTTGAGAAAATGCAAACAGTGACTGTTGATTATACTAGGCTACAGTGTGAGACCTTGTCTCAGAACAACAGAAAGATTAGGAACTCTAGTGCCAGACAATCCAGAATTTTTTAGAAAATATTTAGTGAATATTCAGTATTGAGAAAAGTCAAAGTATTTGAATTTTCCTAATCCCCAAACTGGTGACTGACAGTTTGAAAGTTGTTCATTCTTTGTGAAAGATTTCATTATTGACCGACCTCCTTGCTTCTCAGGCCTGTGATACTCCTCTGCACCCACTGGGCAGGCTTGTGGAGACTTTGGTTGCAGTGTACAGAATGACATACGTGGGTGTGGGAGCCAACCGCCGGTTACTGCAGGAAGCTGTAAAGGAGATTAAGTCCTATCTCAAGAGAATTTTCCAGCTCGTGAGGTAAGAGCTGTTCTCTGAGGTCTGAAAGCCCCTGAGTAGAAGTTTCTATAATACTTGGGTGTCTTCAGCCTCAGTCTGAATACCATAGCTTTGTGAAGACTCTCAAGTGATCGCCTTTATCATAAAACTATTCATCAAGAAAATGGCTTTACACTACAGGCTCTTAAATAGATTAAATAATAGAAGTATATTTTTAATTCATTCATGCTATAAATGTTAAAAGGTGAAGCCTAGGTGTTGGCACTTACTTTCCTTATGTGTGTTCTCTATTAAGGGTACCAGAAGGCTGAAACAAGTGTGTTTAGTTTTCCAAGTTCAGTTCAGCATGAAGTCTAGCTGTCTTTCTTCTATTTAATTTCTAGGAGTAGACAGTTAGTGCCATGTAAGGCTTACCCTGGGGATGTGTCCCGTCCTTCTTAGTAGCACCATGTGTGTTCACAGTCAGCACATGCCAACTGAGTGCACCTGACTCTTAACCACCATTCCACTCTCAGCGAACAAGGCAAAACAAAGAATGAGCAAACTGTTCCTGTGGAGCTTGTACTCTAGTGAGGGAAGGAATGGAGAAAGTGTGACTCAAGGCACAGGAAAAAACTAAACAAAAACAAAAGTCAAGTAACTTAGTCCCATTATCATTTGAAAAATGAACCTTCAGCAAGTCTATTTTAGAAAATGGGTTTTGAAATTCACATGGCAATTTCTGTATCTTCTTAAGCTTATCTTCTGAGAATAATGGTTTCTGGTCAGAGTTAATGCAAGTTGACCTCGAAAAGATTTACCAGTAAGAAATATATATCTTAGGTAGATCAGAATCCCTTAGTCACCAGGCAGAAGGAAGTCACAGCACCTGAAAGCTTTTAGAAATGTCGCTTAACCACTGCATTGTTAATTGCATTCTGTAGGGAGCATCTTTTAAGAATCCTGGGGAAGGGCTGGAGAGATGACTCAGCAGTTAAGAGCACTGGATGTTCTTCCAGAGGACCTGGGTTTGATTTCATAGCATCCACATGATGGCTAACAACTGTCCGCAGCTCTAGTTCCAGAGGAGATGATGCCCTCTTCTGACCTCCATGGGCATTGTACAACATGTGTGTGCTTTCATGCATGTAGGCAATGCACTCATAACACATAAAATAAAATAAAAATAATAAAAAATAAAGAATCCTGGAAATTCAAATACTTAGCTGTTGATTAAGTTTAATGTCATAAACCCTTAGGCAAATGATCTGCTAGAAATGTTTTTCTATTGCTTTTAGCTACTCTGGACATGGAATTATAGTTTATTTTCAATTATCCCTCAGGTTCCTATTTCCCGAGCTTCCAGAAGAGGGCAGCACGATTCCTCTCTCCACTCCTCTGCCAACTGAAAGGAGGTCGTTTTGCACTGGGAAGTCGGATTCCAGATCCGAATCTCCAGAACCAGGGTAAGTGGAGCTGGTGAGATGGTAGAGAAATAGGATGAGGGGCTACTTGATCTTATCCAAAAAGTTGTGAGGATGAGCTGCTGTCTCAGACTGTTTCATCATGTCTGAATTGGTGTGCTTGGATTAGGAGATCTCTAGATTCCTCTAAAGTCTCTAGCTGTATTAGCCATGTCCCAGGAAAGAGCAGCCACAAATAATCCAGGCACGAAGGTTGTTGAGCAAAATAGGCTTATGCCAATTAGAATAACCCCTGCCAAAACAGTTTCAGAATGGAAGCAGAAAACATTTGTTTGATTTCTAGTCAATAAGTAGAATTTGCTGTTGGTTCTGGGGCCTTTGTTATGTTCCTCACATCAACTCGGCACGTATAGGGAGGTACTCTTCACAATGCCCTGTATGCACTTGTAATCTAGGAGACGATGCCTTGTCTTTGATTCTCTGTTCAGTTCTAACATGAATGCACCATCTTCCCACACCAATACTGTAGTTTTATAGTCACATGGATGCCCTGTCTTTCCATTCCAATACTGTAGTTATGTAGTCACTTTGATGTTACTGTCCTTCCACTCCAATACTGTAGTTATGTAGTCACATGGATGTTCCTGTCTTCCCACTCCAATACTGTAGTTAATGTGGTCACATGGGTGTCCTGTCTCCCCACCCCAATTCTGTAGTTATGTAGTCACATGGATGTCCTGTCCTCCCACCCCAATACTGTAGTTATGTAGTCACATGGATGCCCTGTCCTCCCACCCCAATACTGTAGTTATGTAGTCACATGGATGCCCTGTCCTCCCACCCCAATACTGTAGTTATGTAGTCACATGGATGCCCTGTCCTCCCACCCCAATACTGTAGTTATGTAGTCACATGGATGCCCTGTCCTCCCACCCCAATACTGTAGTTATGTAGTCACATGGATGCCCTGTCCTCCCACCCCAATACTGTAGTTATGTAGTCACATGGATGCCCTGTCCTCCCACCCCAATACTGTAGTTATGTAGTCACATGGATGCCCTGTCCTCCCACCCCAATACTGTAGTTATGTAGTCACATGGATGCCCTGTCCTCCCACCCCAATACTGTAGTTATGTAGTCACATGGATGCCCTGTCCTCCCACCCCAATACTGTAGTTATGTAGTCACATGGATGCCCTGTCCTCCCACCCCAATACTGTAGTTATGTAGTCACATGGATGCCCTGTCCTCCCACCCCAATACTGTAGTTATGTAGTCACATGGATGCCCTGTCCTCCCACCCCAATACTGTAGTTATGTAGTCACATGGATGCCCTGTCCTCCCACCCCAATACTGTAGTTATGTAGTCACATGGATGCCCTGTCCTCCCACCCCAATACTGTAGTTATGTAGTCACATGGATGCCCTGTCCTCCCACCCCAATACTGTAGTTATGTAGTCACATGGATGCCCTGTCCTCCCACCCCAATACTGTAGTTATGTAGTCACATGGATGCCCTGTCCTCCCACCCCAATACTGTAGTTATGTAGTCACATGGATGCCCTGTCCTCCCACCCCAATACTGTAGTTATGTAGTCACATGGATGCCCTGTCCTCCCACCCCAATACTGTAGTTATGTAGTCACATGGATGCCCTGTCCTCCCACCCCAATACTGTAGTTATGTAGTCACATGGATGCCCTGTCCTCCCACCCCAATACTGTAGTTATGTAGTCACATGGATGCCCTGTCCTCCCACCCCAATACTGTAGTTATGTAGTCACATGGATGCCCTGTCCTCCCACCCCAATACTGTAGTTATGTAGTCACATGGATGCCCTGTCCTCCCACCCCAATACTGTAGTTATGTAGTCACATGGATGCCCTGTCCTCCCACCCCAATACTGTAGTTATGTAGTCACATGGATGCCCTGTCCTCCCACCCCAATACTGTAGTTATGTAGTCACATGGATGCCCTGTCCTCCCACCCCAATACTGTAGTTATGTAGTCACATGGATGCCCTGTCCTCCCACCCCAATACTGTAGTTATGTAGTCACATGGATGCCCTGTCCTCCCACCCCAATACTGTAGTTATGTAGTCACATGGATGCCCTGTCCTCCCACCCCAATACTGTAGTTATGTAGTCACATGGATGTTCCTGTCTTCCCACTCCAATACTGTAGTTAATGTGGTCACATGGGTGTCCTGTCTCCCCACCCCAATTCTGTCGTTATGTAGTCACATGGATGTCCTGTCCTCCCACCCCAATACTGTAGTTATGTAGTCACATGTATGTTCCTATCCTCCTACTCCAATACTATAGCTATGTAGTCACGAGTTCTGGTCTGCTGCTTCCTGTGCTGCTGCCTCGGCTCTACCCCCCACTCTTCATGCTCTATGCCTTGGATAATGACCGCGAGGAGGACATTTATTGGGAGTGTGTTCTGCGCCTAAACAAGCAGCCAGATATTGCTCTGCTGGGCTTTCTTGGAGTGCAGAGGTAGGTACTGCAGTTATGAGCAGAACCAAATGTTTTCATTTAGAAACCTTCAACACTAGCAGGAATTTGATACATTTATATCTACTTATGAATATGTTTATAGTTTTTTTAGTTGCATACCTGGTAAAATAGTGATATTTAGTAGTCTTCATTTCTGAGAATATTTGGAGATGATTATGAAACTTTATTGATATGAATGTGTTTTTTCTTGCATTGTCATCTATAAACAAGTCTCATCTTACTGCTGCTTTGCACTTACTTAAAGCAAAATGTATATTTTATATTCATATTCCTTAGAAAAAATTAATTGCATTACATGTTTGGTATTCTTGACCTTTCCTTGTCATCAATAATTTTCAATTTCAGAGTCTAAGTGCTCTTTTTATCAGAAGGCATTACCTCTTGTTCCAGGGAAACACCAAATTATCAGGCTTTCTCTCTGGGATAGCAATAAAGCCCACCCAAGAAGTATATATTTGGGCAATCAAAAAAAAAGTGAATAAGTTTTCATTGGGAGATAATGTTTTTAGTGGAATAATTTCATAATAAAAATGAGAAAAGCTAGTGAAGGAAAAATTTTGGATCTATGTTAGTCCCTGTGGTATGTGGGGTCATCAGTATACAGAATGACAAGTCCCTTTGGGATATAGTAGGAGCTCCTAAGTTGTTTCTAGGATATTTACTAAAATGTAGAAAAAAGTAAATTAGAAAATGAAACAGAACCAATCTGTAGAAAAGTTTCATGGGAGCAGGGGCCAAGATAATTGTCACCTGTTTATCTGCCGTATTGATTCCTTATATTAACAATGTATGGATTTCATTGTAGGAAGTTTTGGCCAGCAACCTTGTCAGTTTTTGGAGAGAGCAAAAAGGTACAGTAGATTTTAGTTCTCATCAAACATGCTTTTCTCTGCTGTGAAGTACTCCATTTCATATGAGTAGAGTCCTCAGGCTGCCATCAGCTGCCTGCCAACAAGCTGGACCCTGCCCCCATGAGGACCATTTATTCTTATTGTTGCAGAAGATAACTCTTCTGCACTCATTCTCCTTTTGCAGGTTTTGCCAACCACAAAGGATGCTTGTTTTGCTTCAGCAGTAGAGTGTCTGCAGCAGATCAGGTAAAGTCTGATTTGCTGAAAATCACACACGACAAAGCAGTGGTTCATCTACTGGCATCATAAAAATACATCTTTTTTTTTTTCTACTCTCCATTTTTTCCTTCCTTCCTTCCTTCTTTATAGATAGGGTCTTTTTTAAAATA